GAGGGAGTTTTGCTCTTGTTGCCCAGGCTGGAATGCAATGATGCAATCTCACCACAACCTCTGCCTCATGGGTTCAAGTGATTCTCCTGCCTCAGCCTCCTGAGCGGCTGGGATTACAGGCATGCACCACCAAACCCAGTTAATTTTTGTATTTTTAGTAGAGAAGGGGTTTCTCCATGTTGGTCAGGCTAGTCTTGAACTCCCAACCTCAGATGATCCGCCTGTCTTGGCCTCCCAAAGTGTTGGGATTACAGGCGTGAGCCACCATGCCCAGCCACGTTGGTAGTTTTTTAAAAAGTGAGATTTTGACTTCTATTTCTACTCCTTTGTTTTATTTATTAATCTTACTCAGGGACCAGGTAGGGAAGAGGTGTGTGTTATTAGAGGCCTACTTGGGAGGGGTGGCACATTTAGTAAATAAACATATAGCACACCCAGTAGAACTTGATTTTCAGATAAACAACAAATAATGTTTTGGTGGAAATAATGGGCCAGTATTTTATCTGACAATCCTAAGAAATGCCTAAAATACTACTTAGTTCCACTGACTCACATTGGAAATCACCATGAACAGAAAAGACAATGCGACTTCAATTTGTCAGTAGAATCTCATGTAATATTCAACCCAGAGATGAAAGGTTGGATGGGTAGAGTATTAAGTGAAAGACCCACATGCACCATGATAGCTGAGGCCCAAGAATCCCCATAAAACTAATACTGTACAGACAAACAACAACAACACTATAATGTAGCACCATGGATTTTTGCCCCACCTCACTGTAGTTGATTTTGTTCTGCCTTGCCAACATAATCTCTGGTGTATCTGGCATTATGTGAATTTGAGTCTTGTCTTTGTCCCAGGCCTCTGTATATAAACGCTATAAAAGAAGATGTTGATTAAAAATCATTTGAAATAGAAATGACAAAAAGTTCACGTAAAACTGTTATTAAGGACCTAATGGGGAAAAATAAGCCAGACTTGAACATAAAGTATTCTACTGGAAGCGTGAGTCTTATTACTAGTTATCAAGATTGAAACTGGGAATAATCGAAATTATTTAGAGGATTTCAAGCATGTAATTTAAAAAGCAAATTCGACCCCATGGCTTCATAGATAATTTCATTCCATTAGTCATTAAAGTTTAATAACATCTTCTGGCATCTTGTAGAAGCTTGAGGCAGCTGGGGCTCACCTTGTTCATGTTGAGGGCATTGTTCTTGGCCAGCACCTGCTCCAGAGAATCAGTCACGCTGGTGAATTTCAGCTTGTCCGGAGGCTGGCGGTAGAGGTTATCACTCAGTATTTCTGCAGCTCTCTTGCACTTGACCACATCCATAGACCCAATGGGGACCCAGCCAATGCCTTTCAACCACTGGAGATCTGACTTGTAAATATTCTGAGAAGAGGAAAAAAGTCAAAAACTCTTCATCAAAATCAAAGTATTTTGGGTAAATACGCAAACAGAATCAGTAATAAAGTGCAATTCTGTTTCCTACTTAGAAAACACAATTCTAGAAGAATTATGCTCATAAATGACCCAGAAATATCTTCTAGCTGTAATAAAAACTTATCAAATGTCTCAAGCTATTAGGAGAGGAGTGATCTCAAGTAATATCTTCTGTCAGTTGGTTCAGTGAATGTTATCATAATTGTAATGTGTCTATGCAGAGAAGAATACCAACCCAGAGTGACAGAAACCACACACACATCCAACAACAGGCTCTTAGTGAATCAATTTTAGGCCTAGCTAAATGAAATGCTCCAAAGCCATTAAAAGTTTCACTGTTTAAGAATATTGATGACATGTGGAAATGTCATTAATACAATATGAAATTTTAAAGTAGCACATAAAACAGTGTGGGTAGATAAATTACACGAATAAGAGTGGGTTTTTCTAGTGGTTGGATTGTGTTGGATTATTATTCCCTTCGATGTATTCTTCCATATATTTCAAAATACCTGTAATGCCTTTAAAAGCACAGTTAAAATATAACAGTGATGTAGAACCCCTGAAACCCTGAGGCAGAGCTTCAACAGCGGTAACTCTGTCCAAGATTCAGGGCAATAAATAAATATTTAATTGTTCATCTATTAAATGAACAGTTTCATTATGCAGGGTTCCCGTCTTTTCCTCACCAAGTCCTCAGGATGGAAGCACAGACATCTATATAGAATCATTTTGCCGTATTTTTAGTTCTCATTTAAAAATATTTTTTTGCTAAAGATTTTTATGTACCCATTAAGTATTCATAACTACTTCACAGTCATAGTATTGGACCTTTGCTTGGCTCATTAGAAAGATTTCCCCTGTCACAGCAACTAAATAGAAAATAAAAACTCATATTTTGTAGTCTAGATTAAAAAAAAACCTATTAGAATTGGCCTGTGCTAACTAGTTATTGCCCCATAAATAAAAATAGCAAGAGTGAAAACAAGACGGGCACGGTGGCCCATGCTGTAATTCTAGCACTCTGGGATCCTGAGGTGGGCAGATCACCTGAGGCTAGGAGTTTGAGACCAGCCTGGCCAACATGGCGAAACCCCCATCTCCACTAAAAATACAAAAAATTAGTGGGGCATGGTGGCGGCAGTCTGTAATTCCAGCTACAGAAAAGCTGAGGCATGAGAATCACTTGAACCCAGGAGGCGAAGGTTGCAGTGAGCCGAGATCACGCCACTGCACTCCAGCCTAGGCAACAGAGCGAGACTCTGTCTCAAATAAATAAATAAATAAAAATAAAAACAATAACAGTTTATACCTCTGGAATGCTTTTTAACTTCCAAATACTTCCCACAGTATGAAGGTCATATCGAAGGGTGAGGAAGGCAATCCAGAGAAGGTACCCGGCAAATAGACAGATGGCAAGCAATCTGTCAATGTTGTCATTGCATGGGTGACATCAACCCTTTTAAGCTATCTTCTACGTGCAGGCAAAGCCTTTCTTTTTGGAAATAATTGCTAAACACAGGGTTCTGTATGTCAAATGCTACAGAACAGACGTGGGAGTTTTCTCATGTAGGCTGTAAGGTTTTAGGAACAACCAATTAATGTATAATTATTATTAACTAGTTTTAGTCACCAAAACTTGCTAGTGCTTTAATTCCTTCAAAGTTTATAAAATTCAGAGTGCAGGAAATGTGCCTTTCACATCCAGATTTGAGATAGTGCATCTGCTTCCAATAGGTTGTAGGTTCTGTCCTTACCATGTGGCTCCTCCATAGAGAGCCACGCTAGGAGGAAGTTTCTGTCACACAGTCCAGCAGTGTACAGGCACAGAGACTTCTTTTATTTCATAAGCATAATATTTAGCTTTGCAGTAGGCAGAATTCAATAATTCATTTTGCAAAGAAGCCAAAAACAAATTCCAAAGTAATTTCTTTTTAAAACAAAAACATTTCTTCCTTCCTTAAAAGAATAAAATAAAATGTCTCCCTCTAGTGGACCCTGAATTCCAACATTACTTAATTCCAATTTTGTTTTTCCAAGACCAAGTCCACTTTGTAAATTTTACTTACTTATGAAGCCTTGTTATGTATTTGTGATAAAGCAATAAAACTGTATTCTGATTTAAAACTTATTCATAGACCAACCTTAACTTGAGTAGGTCAATGGATTATATATAAAGGATAATTTTCACATAGTTTAAATTACTTCTATGAACAGCTCCATTTGTAGATGCTGTACTCACGTCACTCTGGAGGTCATAGGCCTGCCGAGCGTGGATGACATCATTCTGGTCGGGCAGGCACGTCCACTCGTGCAGGTAGTTCTTGTAGTCCACGTCACTGACTAAGGTCTGGCACTTCTTGGCCAGCACCACCCCCAGCATGTCCACTGGGCTGCTGAACTTGGTCTTCCACTTCTCAAAGTCCTTCTTGTACTCCCTGTCACTCTGGATCTTGGCCACGTGCATGGACCACATCATCTTGGGGTCATCTTTAATGTCACGTGCTCCAATGTGGTGGCCGAGTTGCTTGCGGTAACCATCTTTATATTTGTACTAAAATGAAAGTGCACAAATCAGGTTTTTATTGTAACTCCCTTAGAGGCCACAGGTACAAAATCAACTTGCTTACATTACAGTTCTACTGACTTTTGTTAATAAGCACTAACTCAAGCCAGTATCCTGCCTTCATCCTGGAAGCCTTTATAGAGGTAGAAAAATAGATGGAATTCACGTAATTGTAGTGTATACCCCACATCAGCTACAGCCTGCTACTAAGGAATATCTCTGAAAACAGGAAGTGCATATGTGGGGAAAGGTCACCTGTGGAAGTTAGGGAGAGAAAATTTGAACCAGGTAACCCACAGAACTGGATTCTAAACACTAAAAGCATGTCAGAAAAAGGGTGCACTTGGTGGAATGGTGTCTTTAATAAACAGTAAAATGAATGACTGATTCCTACAAGGACCACCTGTAGTAACAACAGAGGAGAATTTATTATTTTTGTTATTTACTGGATTCATGCATTCAATGGCAGTGGCAAGCTCTTGGCATCATTTTGAAAACGGATTGTACTTGCAAAACTGACATAGCAACCCAACTTGTTAGATCATGCTCCTACTAAGGTCATGGGTTCTAGCCTCACATGGGCCAACAATGTTTTTATTATTTATGACCAATGACATCATTCTGAAATCTAAGCCTATTATCCAAAATACATGCTTTTAGTCTCAAAGACAGCTGACTAAGTGTAGGTGAGTCAGCAAGAGGCAATATGGTACAATGGAAAGGAATGAGATTGTCTGGAGTTTCAACTCCATCACCCACTAGGAGTTTGATTTTAGGCAAGTTGCTTAAACAATCCACAAAATGGGGATAATGAGGATATCTACATTCTAGGGCAATTATGAATAATAAGTAAGACAATGCATGTAAAGCACTTAGCAAAGAGTTCTCAACTGGTTATGGTTATTTCATTATTTATTATTATTGTATGAGTCCATTTGCTGAGAGGGTCCCACATACATAAAGCTGAATCACTAACATAAGATTCCAATATAAAGGACAGCAGTGGGCCTTGATTTTTAGAACAGTCGTTTGTTCCTCAAGAATCCCTGAAACACCAGGAAAGAATGTCAGTTTTACTCTGGGAGACATACTACAAGACTAGGAGATATTGTTAAGAGTGTGATCTTGGCTGGGCATGGTGGCTTATACTTGTCACCCCAGCACTGGGGGAGGCTGAGGTGGGTGGATCACCTGAGGTCAGGAATTCGAGACCAGCCTGGCCAACATGGTGAAACCCTGATGCTACTAAAAATACAAAAATTAGCCAGGCGTGGAGGCGGGCACCTGTAATCCCAGCTACTCGAGAGGCTGAGGCAGGAGAATTGCATGAACCTGCGAGGTGGAGGTTGCAGTGAGCCAAGATCGTGCCATTGCACTCCAGCCTGGGCAACAAGAGCAAAACTCTGTCTCAGAAAAGAGGGTTGACCTTAGGTCAGTAGCCACCTCTGGTACTGATCAACCACCTTCTTTTCATAAGGGTGAATTGCAATAGCAAGTGGCATAAGTGTTTTAAAATACTATATATTAAAACGTTACATAAAGCCAGGCCCTGAATTGTACTAGCAGAACTTATAAGCTTTTTATAAGCCTGGTGATAATTCTTACATAAGCATCTCCAAGCCTGCAGCTTCTCTCTAACAGTGTACACATGAATGAATCTTTCTCTGTTCTTGGTTGACCAGTTTTCATGGAAGACGCTGTGTCCTACAGGTTACAAACCCCTTTCGTAAACATCAACATTTTCTTTCCCTTAAAACTGAGGTTTTGAAAAATTCTACACAAATACATCAGGATATATTTTTAAAGGTCCAGGAAAGGTTCTTTTTCAAGATTTAGTTCAGTGAAAATGCCACATTAGCTTGACCACATACTCAGAATGGAAATGACAACTCACGTCACTGATGATGTCCCTGGAGGCCTTGGCCGCAACGATGGGGATGGCGTCGCTCCGCAAGTCATAGCCTTTCTTCTTTGCTTCTTCATTAGCAAGTTTGTACAGACTCTAAATTTGGGCAAATAATAATAATAATCAGCTAGATGCTGACATTTATATCTAAAAATTGACAGAGGACTATGATAATTCACTAAGTTCTCCACAGACAGTGCCTATAATTATCTTACTTCTGAGAGTTCTAAGCCTTCTGCATGTTTGCTGAAGTGAAGACTCAAAAATAAAGGTGGGCACAGTGGCTCACGCCTGTAATCCCAGCACTTTGGGAGGCTGAGGTAGGTGGATCATCTGAGATCAGGAGTTTGAGACCAGCCTGACCAACATGGTGAAACCCCGTCTCTGCTAAATACAAAAAAAATTAGTCGAGTATGGTGGTACATGTCTGTAATCCCAGTTACCAGGGAGGCTGAGGGAGGAGAATTGTTTGAACCCAGGAGGCGGAGGTGGCAGTTAGTTGAGATTGTGCCATTGCACTCCAGCATGGGCAACAAGAGCGAAACTCCAACTCAAAAAAAAAAAAAAAAAAGATACCCATAAAGACCAATACACCTTTATTTTTTACTTTAAAAACTATGTTGAATTAAGTATGTATACATATTATAGGGTTGTTTTAAAATTTTTTAATTAAAACAATAAATCCAGTTTAAAAAATATGGGAAAAATTAAGCTGAAACTCATAGGTCTATCGTGGTAAAATGTGGCTGGGAGGGAAAGACTTAACTGTTGATTTTGGCAATCAATTCAACTCACATTTATTCTGCCCTGACCCTGTGTCTCTGACTGTGGTGGGTACTTGGGAATCAAAGATAAGGTTGAGGCCCCTCTCAGCCCAAAGTTCCCTGACAGAACTGAGGGAGAGACTGATAACCAGCGAGACCAACTGCTGAAAAGTCCAACCACATTAATAACGAAGAGCTCCAGAAAGGAGTCATTTATTCCGAATTCAGAGTCAGGGAAGTTCTTGCAGATGGGGTGACTTTTGAGTTGGACTTTGAGCAGAGTTTCAATAGACTCGGGTAGCATGAGGAGCAGAGGAAATCATGTGAATCAAGTCACCACTGTGGCGGGGAAGCAGAGGGGTGTTAAAGAAGGTGGGTGAGGCCCCAGGGAGAAGTGGCAGGAGAGGGCAGAGAAGAGCCTGGAGTCAGACTGTGAACGCCTGGTTCTAAGTTGGTGTTTAATTCTACAGAAAATAGGAAAGCAGCCAAAAAGTTCTCTTCTTTTTAACACCAGAGGGGAGTGCCCATGGCAGCGTCCCAGGCTGGGTGGGTGGAATAGGGGATCACAGGTGAAAGGAGGAAGGGCACCTGGGCCTCCTCGAACCGGCAGCCGAGCAGCCGCACTAACACATCCCTGAGCTTTGTCAGCAAAGACAGAGTTGAGAATTCCAGAAATGCTGAGTGGTTAGATATAGGGGGCGCCCTTTGCTTCCTGAAATTCCTGCACATATAAGGCATGCTTTCCTGTAACAAGACCTATCGTATAGGTTTAGCTAAAAATTCAATGCTTTCTGACTGGGGAGTAAGACTTGATGTTTTTAGTTTTTGGTGACAAGAGCTAGCTACACAAGCACTAAAATTACAGTTTCATTTCCAAAAAAAATTACTTAAGATGGTGGCAATTCCACCTAAATTCTCTAAATTGTGCTCTTCAGAAGAGTAATATATTGTTGATTTATGCTGCCAAAGAAACAATATTTTTCTTGCTAGTGGCACAATGCTAGGTGAAATAACTAACACATCAGCTGCCAGAATCCTAGATTCACAAAAATCTCCACAGGCTTATACCCACAAACTCAGAATAAGAAGAAATTGCAGAGATAAATGCCAATCTTTGAACAGAGATAAATTACCAATGCATAAATGCAGGATGGAAGAAACCTAGGTTTGGCCCACATAAGATGTCTTAGAGTTTAAGTTGATCTCAAGTTCTGTGTGCACCAGTGGTGATGGCTGCCAATGTGCCCTGGGAGCACAGGATGGAGAACAGAGGTCAAATGTCCAGAAGAGGAAACACAATAGTTAAGCATATTCAACTCCAGTCATTCCTCATTCATAATATTTTGCTCAGTTCTGAGAGTCCCACTTTATGATATCATGTGAGGAATGCTCAGGAACTTGGGATATTTGGATTTGAAAGTGAACCCGGGTGAAGGTGGCAGGGGAGGCACCCTGGTGCTGTTCTCCATCTCTGAGGGTTGGCACAGATTTGCTTTGTGCAGCTTTGGAGGACTATGGGAGTTTTCAGTGAGAAATGCTGTGACTCAACACACCAGAAGCACTTTCTCATAAATTTTCTATAACAAATGGACTGATTTATGAGATTACTTCCTTGCCATTGGGAACCCTTAACCAAATACAGGTCAACAACTTATTTGGAGTGGGGGGGGGGCACCTTTGCACTGGTGTGGACACTTGGCTCTCTGCCTAAGTATCTGTGATTCTGCAATGGTGGCATGTGGCCCTGTGCTCACTGAAAGTGAAAAGGAAATGGGCTTGCTAATATATACATTGACAGATATTTCTCTTTCTCTCTCTCTGTGCATATATGTGGGTTTTTGTGTGTGTGAATGTGTGTTACCTTGTGGTACTGTGGATTTTAGTTCCTGCCTTTAATCTTATACACTAAAAATCTTAAATTTGGATCCTAAACCACATTTTAGGAACAATATATGGAAAATATGTTTACTCCAGTTATGCTTTAGCATAAAGCAGAGATACATGTATAGGTTAATTGCTAATTTCCTAACTTCAAAAATTAATAAGAGAAAATGGTCTACATAATCTCATGGCTACAGCTTAATTAGTTCTTGTCATTTGTATTTCCTAAATGACAATTCATTTGCATAAAGTTTGACATTTATGCTGGTGATTGAGAAATGCAAGAGTTGTTACTCACACGAAGCACAAAAAAGATTCTTTATAAAGCTGTCATGTGGCATTACATCACCATAGAGTAGATCAATTGAAATAAGCAGCAATGTGCAAATGTCGAAGAATCTGCTCTCACCTCACTGTAGTTGATTTTGTTCATTCTCGCCAACATAATTTCTGGTGTGTCTGGCATTATGTGGATCTGAGTCTTGTCTTTGTCCCAGGCTTCTGTGTACAAACGCTATAAAAAAAAATAGACAAATTCTTCAGGAAAAAAGTTCTGTGTATAGTTAATATAAATTTTAGGACCACAAAAATTCTATAAACAAAAGAAATAAAAGGTTATGGGTCTTATACAGAACTTACTACTTGGAGGTGTTTTATGCACACCTCCAAGTAGTAAGTTCATAGTGGAATATATATTTATAAATGCATTCTAATAATCTGAAATGTATGTTAACAATTAAAAGAAAAATGAGAATAAGCATATTTTATTCAGACTATTTTTTTCATAAAATATGCCACTTTATCAAAACCATTAAATAACTAAAGTAAATATAAGAATATACATGATATATATCAGTTATTAATAGATGACAGCCCGATAGACAGACATATATATAGATAGATGCCTTTTGTTGCTCGATACTCTCTTTCTTCATTAATGCTTCATTTTTGTAGATTCAGCTTTATGAACCCCACTTTGGTTCTTAATTTTGAAGTCTCACCTTGTTCATAGTGATGGCATTATTTTTGGCCAACACTTGTTCCAGAGAATCAGTCACACTGGTAAATTTGAATCTGTCTGGAGGCTGGCGATAGATTTTATCACTCAAAATTTCTGTTGCCCTTTTGCATTTTTCCACATCCAAAGAGCCAATGGGCACCCAGCCGATGCCACGCAACCACTGAAGATCAGACTTGTACATATTCTGTTGACACAAATAGTCAATAAATATTTATCTCTGTATCAGCAATGCATTTTCATCTAAAGGATAAGAGATCAAGTAAAATCACTCTCAAAATATAGTTTGGTGGACAAGCCAGGTATCACACAATATTCCATTTTGGTCTGAAGGGTTAAAGGATTAAAATTCCTAAGAATAAAGGCATTCTATTTGCCTCCTGTAGGGGGAACTGGCAAGCTTGTGCCATATATTGCCATTTTCTTCAAGGGGTGTTAACTAATTTCCCACCTCTGCCCGTTATTATGACTCTCAGTGCTCACATCACTCTGGAGGTCATAGGCCTGCCGGGCGTGGATGACATCGCTCTGATCGGGCAGGCACGTCCACTGGTGCAGGTAGTTCTTGTAGTCCACATCACTGACTAAGGTCTGGCACTTCTTGGCCAGCACCACCCCCAGCATGTCCACTGGGCTGCTGAACTTGGTCTTCCACTTCTCAAAGTCCTTCTTGTACTCCCTGTCACTCTGGATCTTGGCCACGTGCATGGACCACATCATCTTGGGGTCATCATGTATAGCTCGGGCACCAATGTGGTGGCCGAGCTGCTTACGATAGCCCTCTTTGTACTTGAACTAGAAGAAGAAAAAGACAGAGAGTCATCTGTTTTAACTTTTACTAAAACACAATTACTAAGCCTAAACGTTTCTATTTATTTATAGAAAATTTTCCCTGAATATATAAATTATATATGATACATGTATCTTGTAAACCATTTAGAAAATGAAATATATGTCATATATCACCAATATGAAATACATATCTTATATAAAACATATCTCATATAAAATATATATCATATATATATTCACACATACAGGAAAAAAAGAAAAATTAAGATATAATGCTGCAATTAAGAAATAATTTTTTATGATTCATGTGTGAGAATATAATTAAAAGTCATACTGTATATGGGTTTGTGCCTGCTTTTTTCAGTTATTATATAAGCATTTCTATGGTCATTAAATAGTCTTTCCATATTTAATTTTCTTTTTTTTTTTTTTTTTAGAAAGCATCTCTCTCTATTGCCCAGGTTGAAATGCAGTGGAACAATCTTGTCTTACTGCAACCTTCAACTCTTGGGCTGAAGTGATCCCCCTGCCTCAGCCTCTCAGTAGCTAGGACTACAGGCATGTGCCACCACACCTGGCTAACTTTTAAGTTTTTTGTAGAGATAGTGTCTTGCTAAGTTGACCAGGCTGGTCTCGAACTCCTGGCCTCAAGTGATCCTCTCACCTTGGCTTCCCAAAGCACTGGGATTACAGGTGTGAGCCACAGCGCCTGACTTATACACATGATTTTTAATGATATTTCAGGTATTTCATTATACGGTATTTAACTCTTCTGTGATTGTTGAACATTTATTCTTAAATTACTATTACTTCCCATATTTTGGAAATAAAGAAAAAAATCTAGTTTTTTTTTTTTTTTTTTACTTCATAGACAAAGAACATGGAAAGAAAAATTTTTAGAAATGTGAGCAAATCCATCTTTTAAAGAAAGCAAATATTTGTAGCCCATCACTGGATGTAGAAACAAATACATGTTCCACATGAATTGTTGAACTTTGAATAATATGTCCTATAATTCAGCCCTTGTAGGTTCATTGGTTCATACAGCAAAGGCTGGCTGCTGAAGGAACCCTACAATAAGTTCAACTGTATATGAGAAATACATCATTGGAAAAGCCCAGAAAATTATCTGAACTGTAGTCAAGTATCCAATACTTTTGGTCAGCAGGAAAGGGACATGTTTTGAAATGCATGTTGCTATGGACTCAACCATAACTGGAATTTAGCCTTTGTGTTCATAACTCTATTACCATTATTTTAAACCACTCATTGAAACAACAAACTTAGCAACAGCGTTAACCTCATGGCTTATTTGTGCCACTTTACATCCAGGAGAGAGAAATAAATCTTTGAGCCAAAGCTAAGGCAAAGAACTTTCCAAGTATACTTACTTCGCTTGCAATATCTCTGGAGGCCTTGGCTGCCTTGATAGGAATGGCATCTACTCGCATATCATAACCTTTCCTCTTGGCTTCTTCTAGGCCAAGCTTATATAATTTCTAAAATAGACATAAATAATAAGTTGGATTTATAAAGTGCATTGTAAGGAAAATGTATCATGCACTATGAATTTATTGCTTACCTCACTGTAATTTACTTTGTTTTGTTTAGCTAATAAAACTTCAGGGGTATCTGGCATAATGTGGACGGTGGTTTTATCTTTATCCCAAGCTTCTGTATAGAGGCGCTAAGAGAAACAGAAAGACATGACTGGTACAGGCCAGTAATGAATACACACATGCAAACAGTCTGATTTTTAATGAGAATAAAGAAATTCAGCTCAGTGAATTGGCATTTTGTGACATTTTCAGGTCTAGATGTCTTGTGTGAATAAAAAGCACAATACTTTAAAACCATATTAGCATCAAGCAAAGGAATCAAAAATAAGTTTTCTTTTATAGAAACAGATTTCAGTGTTTCCATAAACAAAAAAATTAATAACCTCCTCAAACAAAGATAAGACTTACATGATTCATGGTAATAGCATTGTTTTTTGCCAAAACCATCGGTATGGAATCCATAAGGCTGGAAAACTTGAATTTATCTGGGTGCTGACGGTAAACATGGTCACTCAAAATCTGGGTGGCTCGTTTGTTTTTCTCATCCTCAAGAGAACCAGCAGGCATCCAGCCGATGCCCTTTAGCCACTGAAGGTCTGACTTGTACAAATTCTGAAAGTGTAAGTGACAAAGCATTAAATGATTTGTCATAATTAAATCATTTATCATGATTTGTCATAAGTTGTCATAGTTAAATCATTTGCCCCTAAAGAAATAAAAGTTCATATTATATTTCTAATGCTTGAATTCTTAGGAAATTCTAAATTTTTGTTATGAATTATAAATCAAAATATTCAAGCATATTTTGAAAAATATTTTAAACAGAAGCACATAGAGAATGACTCAATTCTTTGATTGTCTAGCTCGACATCTAGAGGCTTCCTCCAAAGCAGTAGAGCTTTGCTCTTTCTCTGTGGAATAATGGTGTCTTCAGATGTTTGGGTGACTAGATGGGGTTGGGCATTAGTCCAGGGAAGTGGAACTCAATTGTGTAAACTCAATTCTCCTTACTATGGGACTCTGATTCTTTGAAAAGCAGACATAGTGTTTTGTTGGCCAAAGGAAATCCTTAGACTCACATCGCTCTGGAGGTCATAGGCCTGCCGAGCGTGGATGACATCACTCTGGTCGGGCAGGCACGTCCACTGGTGCAGGTAGTTCTTGTAGTCCACGTCGCTGACTAAGGTCTGGCACTTCTTGGCCAGCACCACCCCCAGCATGTCCACTGGGCTGCTGAACTTGGTTTTCCACTTCTCAAAGTCCTTCTTGTACTCCCTGTCACTCTGGATCTTGGCCACGTGCATGGACCACATCATCTTGGGATCATCCTTAATGTTCCGGGCTCCAATGTGGTGGCCGAGCTGCTTGCGAAAGCCTTCTTTGTACTTGTACTAAAGAAAAAAAAATGGTGTCTCATTCCTTTCAAAATTAACTTCTGTTGCCATCTTTGTGGCAAATTACAAAGCACACTAACTCTAAATATTTTACTAAGCCTAGAGAGCCAAAGACTTCAGTCTTTTGATAAGAAAGATTAAAGGCTAAATTCAGCTATGAAATTCCATACATAATAAATGCATCCTTGATCTTATCCTCATCCCACACTGTATGGGATCATTTTATTCCATTGTAATTTGTTACCCCTTAGATTGTGTTCAATTTAAAATTAAATTGAGACTGCTTTGAAGTGATAAATTGCAATCAAATCAATATCAACAGAGGATAAATTCTTACTTCACTGGCAATTTCCCGGGAGGCTTTTGCTGCTTTGATTGGTATGGCATCAACAGGAAGATCGTAGCCTTTTCTCTTCAGCTCCTCATAACCCATTCGGTAGAGTTTCTGTTAAGAAATGATCACTTTGGGAAATACTGTTCCCCATAGACAAATACAGCATAATGATCAAATGTGCTAAATATTTTGAGTCTATGAGAATAGCAACTGTGCCCTAGAATACTCAAATGTAATCAGAAATTATGCCCATTGATTGCTAATGATCCTGTTTTAAACTTTAAAGCTCTTCGATATTGCCTAGATCAGCAAAATTGTCAGCTCTTCCCAAATACAGTCATGCATTGGTTAATGATAAAGATACATCCTGAGAAATGTATTATTAGTTGATTTTGTTCTTGTGGGAACATCATAGAGTGTACTTATGCAAACCTAGGTGGTACAGCCTACTACACACCTAGGCTATATGGTATAGCCTATTCTTCCTAGGCTACAAAACTATGGAGCATGCTAGTGTAGGCAACTGTAACACAATGGGAAGTATTAATATTTGCATATTTAAACATAGCTAAACATGGAAAAGATACAGCAAAAATCAGTATGATTATGTTTTGGGGCCACTGTCCTGTATGTGTGCCATTGTTAGCCAAACTGTTGTTACGCAGTGCATGTCTATACTTGCAAGAATTTGGCAGAAGTAAACAGCAGAGAAATGAAATGGATTATTATTTAGGTGCTGTTTTTCAATTAACATTGACTGTTTCATTAGAAGTTTTTGTTAGAAAAGAGCTTATGGCTTTTCATCTAATTCTTCTAATGGGGAAAAATCATGCCTAAAGGACTGTCTCTTCCATGTAGCCGATGCATCGTGAAATAGTCTGTCTCCCAATATGGGACCATCCCAAGTAGGATCCACATCTATAGGTAAGCTAGGAGTCCACCATAATTTCTAAAACTTAAGATGTTTTGAAGAAAGTTTAACGAATTTTAAAAGCTTAAGTGAAAGAATGTGTTCTTTCATATCTGTGACATAATTTAAAAATTTAGAATTTAAATGGACTTTTATCCGGAAACCAGGTTATTGAAAGTGCCTGTTGATCTTGGACTTATGTTTATCTGTTAGTCCTTCGTGGCAGTACTTTAATACATCCTTTAATGTTCAAGATATTCTATTAGAATTTAGAGTTTATTTTTAAAATATTTAATTTTTACATGTATAAATTTCAGGAGATTATGCTGCAATGACAATGACAATAAAAATAAAATTCTCCTGCATGGGTTTTGGATGCTCACTGATCCAAAATTTTACTGAGTATCTACTATGTGTCAGGCATGGTTCTAGATAAGCAGTGCAGATTCAATAAGAATTGACTTTGCCTGCAAAGTGTGCCTGTCCACACTGGGGAGAGCAATATAAGCCATCACATTATGAGGATATGTATAACAATGGACTGCAAAGAACAGAGAATACAACTCCTCATTCTGCCTGACACAGCAAGTACTGACATTTTAATGTTCAATCTAAAAGCCACTAAATAAGAAATCTAAATCATATGTAGTTTATTAATTAAAATAATTCAGGGATTCAAAGATCTTCCAGACAACCTCACTGATTTAGAAACAAAATGAGCTTTCTGAAAACACATGCTGAATTTGAAAACTTACATCACTTGTGTTGATTAAGTTTGCTTTAGCCAGAACAATGTCAGGTGTATCAGGCATGATGTGGATCTGAGTCTTGTCCTTGTCCCAAGCTTCTCTGTAAAGTCTCTAAAATAAAAAATAAGAATTTTTCAGTGGTGGTGTTAGATGAGTGAATGACATAGTTGCCTTCAAACAGAATTGCTGAATTTATCTGAATTAAACATTATACATTGACATCATAAGCAGACAACATAAGAAGAAAATAGATGCATTATTTCTTGACTTATCCGGGACATAACTGCCTCTCAAAACAGAGATTATAGGTCACATTTTCAAAGTTACAGATAATCCCGCCTACAAGAAATCAATCTAGGTAATTACAGGCTTTGTCAATATTATAAAATAAAACCAGGTTTTTCATCTTTTGGGTTGTATCTCAGTGTTTGAGAGGCAGCCTTCGCCTTTTCAAAGATGACTTATTCAAAGTGTGCATAGAAATCAGGGAGTTTTATTTCCTATGTGGTTTATTATTATTATTATCATCATTATTTTGAGACTGAGCCTTACTCTGTTGCTCAGGCTGGAGTGCAATGGCACAATCATGGCTTACTGCAACCTCCATCTCCTGAGTTCAAGTGGCTGGTTCACCATAGCCACCTAATTTTTGTATTTTTAGTAGAGACGGGCTTTTGCCATGTTGGCCAGGCTAGTCTTAAACTCCTTACCTCAGGTAATCTGCCTGCCTCAGCCTCCCAAAGTGTTGGGATTAGAGGTGTGAGCCACCATGTCCAGGCCCTATGTGGCTTATTATTTACAGTTATACCTCATAATCATTGTGAAGGATTAGGATTCCCAAAAGGATTTTGTTTGGGAATTTATCAAAATCACTTGGATGTCCCAGAGCCATCCATACGTTTAACAGAAGACAAAGGGATCCAAACAAAAGTTTCACTGATTTACTAAAATGAAGAATTTTTTTTTTGAGACAGAGTTTCACTCTTGTCACCCACGCTGGTATGAAATGGCACCATCTCTGTTCACTGCAATCTCTGCCTCCCAGGTCCAAGCAATTCTCCTGCCTCAGCTTCCCAAGTAGCTGGGATTACCAGCACCCACCACCATGCCTGGCTAATGTTTTATTTTTGGTAGGGATAGGGTTTCACCATGTTTGCCAGGCTGGTCTCAAACTCCTGACCTCAGGTGATCCACCTGCCTCAGCCTCCCAAAGTGCTGGCATTACAGGCATGAGCCACTGTACCTGGCTAAAACTATGAAAATTTGATGAAAAACAGAATATTTACACAGGGTCAGAAAATATCCCTGCCAGATAACTTATCCATTACAAAGGATAAAATGGTTACTTGACAGTATAGCAACATGTCAATATCACTTTAACCAAGTGACCAAAGTTTAAGTTATTAGTAATAGAACAAATTAACATCCTGTGCCTCCTGATATGAGGTACTGAGGAGGATACAATGTGTGATCTTCTGTTGAAAAGACAATCTGAGCCTAATCACAAGGACCCACCAGAAAGCTCAAATGGAGGGAGATTCTACAAAGTAACTGGCCTATGTTCTTCACAAATGTCAAAATCTTGGAAGGCAAAGAACCAGCCCAGAGTAAAGAAGACTAAAGACATGACAAATAATGCAACCTGTGGTCTTGGATTAAATCCTGGGCCAGAGAAAATTTTTTCTTTTTCTATACAGGACGTTAGTGATAAAACTGAATAAATTCTGTAGACTAGCAGACTAGTGCAAATTAATTTTGTGATTTTAATCACCACAATGTGATTATGTAACAATGATATTTTGGGGAAGTACACACAGAATATTTAGGCATCATAAAGCAATTTACTTTCTCATATAAATATATAGATAAAGATATAGGTCCTAGAGCAAGAAAGGGAGAAAAAGAGACAAAAAGAGAAAGCAAATATGGTAAAATGTTAACATTTGGGGAATATGTGTGAACATATACATGCACACACACATACACACACATGTAAATTACATGTACTAATTTTTCAACTTTTCTGAATGCCTCAAATTATTTCAATATAAAATTTTTTAGTCTCATTGATTCCTTAAACTGTCCATTTCCCTTTGAGGTACACAGTATGAGATGTGCGTGTGATACTTTTCTTTTTCCTGCACATGTTTAGTATGGTACACATAACCCAGAGAAGCCAATTAAGACCCTTAGCACCAAAACTAAGCAAGGGTTGTTAATTTCCATATACGTGTATCCCAGTTTTGCACTACCCTTTCGGGTTTCGTAGCACCAGAGTTTCTCTTTGAAAGTTTTTTTATTTGCATATATTCACGGGGCACAAGTGCAATTGCGTTGTGGTGAAGTCAGGGCCTTCAGTGCATCCATCATTGGAGCAACACATGTTGTACCCACCAAGCAAACAGCAGAGCTTCTCTACCTCATAACACTGATATTGTGTACTGGATGATTCTTTGTAGTGGGGGCTGCCTTGTGTATTGTGGCGTGCTTAGCAGCATCCCTGGCTTCTACCTGCTAGATGCCAGCCAGTAACATGTCACTCCCCAGTTGTGAAAACCAAAAATATTTCTAGATGTTGCTAAATGTCCCTGTGGGACAAAATTGCCTCTGGTTGAGAGTCACTAAGTTAGATTATTTCTTCAATGGCAGGTGCCACTTTCACCTCATGGAATGCAGAGAAAATCCTAATATTATTTACACTGGGATGGACGTATTGATCTATTCAGAAGGAGAGAGAGCAGGCTCAAGGACTCCAGCTGGCCCGGGTTTTGTGTGGCTGTTCTGAGGCCTGAGAGCTCCATATTTCAGCATTCTCCAACTTAGAGCACACTGCTGGGGAGTCCTGTCCTGGGACATGTATATTGATAAACTTCGTGATCTTGGGTTTCTCTCTTGGTTACCTCATTAGTTCAGAGCTTTTTCTCTTACGTTTCACGAAGAAAAAAGAAACTTACATTCCAAGAAGGATGACATATTTTGTACAAATTTGTTATTTCTCAGTCAGTTTGTTGGATTCTGATTGTCATCATAAAAACGGTAAAAGAATAAGTAAATGCTTAAACATTCATAATGCAGCTGACAGGTCAGCATTTACTACACGTCCTAGAAATCAACATTATAAAAAGCTTGTGAGGGGTTAGTTGGGAAAAGAGGAACTCCAATTTATCAATGTTCACTCTAAGCTGATTATGGGTTTATATATTATATAAAACCTCTGATATATATGATATACATAAAGTATATAGCCTGTTACATATAGTATAAATATTTAGATCCTCCTAAGACCTATAGTATATGTATTTAGATCCTTCTAATAATGGATCTAAATATATATACTACATATTTACTATAGTAATGGATCTAAATATAATACTCTATAACAGATGGTTATTATATGCCTATTTAAATGTTCTTACCAATTACAGAATCTCAGTGTACATAGTTCAATATTTATAATGTTTAGGGTTAGGATGTAGCTGAGCAGTGTTGAGTAATCTTTTCCTTCTTTGCATGTAATTACTCCACGCTGCTATCTTTTATTTATTTTTTTCGATGAATATTAATTACATGCTAGACAATGAATATTAATTACATGCTACCTATTACATGCTAGACACTGGTGTCAGAGCTGGCAAAGAAAGTAAGCTGAAGATGGAATACATACTTACTTACAGTGACAGAATTATCTATTTATCTTTATTCAGCTAAACTAAAAGCACTATACTCATTTGGCAGGAAATATACTCTTTGTAATATCCATTGTGCCTGCGTAAGGTACTCAGACTCTTTCCCCCTCATACACTCTACCCCAGTAAAAAAACATCTGGGTGTTTCGTGCACTCAAGTTTCAAAGAAAAAAGTTTGTCCAATCATGTACCTATTACATTTTGGTTAAATAATAAATAAATAAGCTTTGGGTGACAAAAACTGACACTGATCCATTTTTCATGATTCAGTGTAGGATAGCTGCTAATTCAAATAAAGTGACCCAATATAAAATATTATATGGTGATGTATGAGGCAATGTTTTGCTGTTCTCATTTATTAAGCAAGTGCTATTGAGCAAATACTAGGTAGCAGGTACTATAATCTATTTCATTTATTTCCAGAGTACTCACATCACTCCTATTTTTGGCATTTGTCTTTGCCAGAACTATGTCCATGGCATCAGGAATGCTGGTGAACTTATTTTTGTCTGGAGGCTGACGATATTTCTTCTCACTGATGATTTCTGAAGCCCGCTTGTTCTTTTCTGCCTCTAAAGAACCCAAGGGACTCCATCCTATGCCTCTCAGCCACTCAAGGTCAGACTTATACAGATTCTGTGAAAAGACAGAGCAAGCCATCAAAATCTCATTCTCACCTGGACTCTTGATTCAAGCGATTCTATGCATTACAAACAGATTCATTTTAGATTTTCATAATAATTCCTCTTTCTAGTTTCTGCTTTTCTTTGACTAAATAGCTACTCATATAAAATATGAATTAATATATAAACTATTGGATTTAATAGAAACTGACCTCACTTTGAAGTTCATAAACTTTCTTAGCTTGAGTAACATCATTCTGATCAGGCAGGCACGTCCAGTGATGTAAGTAGTTCCTGTAGTCCACGTCACTAACCAAGGCCTGACACTTCTTGGCCAGTACCACTCCCAACATGTCCACTGGGCTGGAGAACTTAGTTTTCCACTTCTCAAAGTCCTTCTTGTATTCTCTTTCACTCTGCATTTTGGCTACATTCATGGACAACACAAGTTTTGGATCATCTTGCAGATTCCGGAATCCAATATGGTGGCCAAGTTGCTTTCGGTAGCCTTGTTTGTATTTAAACTGAAATCAGAGAAAACACAGTTCTTTCAGTAACACAAAGGCCAAGGTAAGCTCAACTGGCTTTTCTTTCTTTTCTTTCCTTCTTTCATTATTTCGAGACAGGGATCTCACTATGTTTCCCAGGCTGGTCTTGAACTCCCAGGCCCAATCTTCTAGCTTCAGCCTCCACAGTAGCTAAGATTAAGGGCACATGCTACCCCACCCAGCTTCAATTTGTTTTATTTTAATGTTTGTTTTCCAAAACTGAAATGAGAGAAGGGCTGTCTATGCTAACAGTATGGAATGTTTACTTACTTAAATTAAGCCTTGTTTACATGGAAGCTTCTGAAGAAATCTAATGTAGTTGAGTATCAAGAGGTTATGAGAAGAAATTAATTCTAACTAGATGCAGAAATATATGCTTGGTTGTGCTAGATATTGTGTATGCTGACTTTGGGGTTGTGTTTAATAAAGCTCTTGTGATATTCTTATAGAAATGATATCCTCATGGGTTAAATGGCAGAAAAATTAGGAAGATGCATGACTTGGTAAATATGCCTAATAGTGCAGATTAATTTCTTAAATAGCAGGATTTTTTTGTGGTTTGCCACGTGGTTATGTCATATAACCTTGTCCTGTTTGGGATCTATATCTTGCATGTACAGATGGCTAAAAATAACTAAATATGTTAGATTAGAAAGAAAATTCCACAGGAGCTCAGCATACTGGATGGGTCAAAATGATTACATAAATGTAAGAGAGTAAAAGTAAAATTTGGTATTTAGATTCAATTGAGAAAAACAATATTAGTACTAGATGGCAATAACTACAGTGATAATAATGAGTATTATAACAGCATTTACTTGACGTTAGTGCTGAACACATGTCATGCCTCATATGATACCCAATTTCATTACTACACATATAAAATATTCAGGGGTTTAAGTGGACTATAAACTTCAACATGAGCAATCTGACAAAATTGCTTTTTAAAAAGTAGTGCCATAAATTCTGTATGGGGCACAGATAAGCTCTCTGACCTGATCTCCTGTATCAAGAAAACAACACTGAATTTTGGGGGATTCTATTTCAACAGGAGTTTTGAAAAAAATAGCATAAGTTACAAATAGAATAATCAGAAGATTGAAGAATTCATAAAACTGAAACAAATGGAGGGCAAATATGAAATGTTTGAAGTGATATCAACTGGAGGAGGAAACAGGCTACTTTTTGGTGTTATAGCACAGAGAGCTAGAGCTTATTGGTAAAATACTTAGATAAAAATAAGAGAGTATGTAATGGCAATTGGAAATGATCTAACAAAGAAATGACCTGCCCTGATGGACTCCAAAATTCCTGTAAAGAATTTTTTTATTTTTGAGACACCGTCTTGCTGTGTTGCCCAGGCTGGAGTGCAGTGGTGCAATCACAGCTCACTAAAGCCTCAACCTTCTCAGCTCAAGTGATTCTCCCACCTCAGCCTTCCCAGTAGCTGGGACTCCAGGCGCACACCACAATGCCTGGCTAACTTTTTATTTTTTGTAAAGAAAGAATCTCACTATGTTGGCTTCAAGTGATCTTCCTGCCTTGGCCTCCCAAAGTGCTGAGATTATGGGAAGGGGCCACTGCACCCAGCCTCCAAAATTCTTATATTTTGAGGTATCTACAGACTGTTGGAGATGGAGACAAGGTAGGATGCTAAGTGTGAGATTAGATTAAATGTCCTTTATGCTATTTTCCAACTCTAAATTCTATGATTCTGATTCATTAAAAACTTACATAGTTCTGATTTTCTGAAATTTTATGAATACGAGGACATTTGAAATTGAGAGGAAACACATCTCTATAATAGTGGGAAAGTTTGCTTATAGTTCATTTGAGAGTAAAATTTCAAAAGGTTCTAACTAACGGGTTCACACAAAAAGAAATGTACTATCAAACGTTGAATTGTTAGGAAATTATTCATGTTATTTCTTCAATTCCTAGACTATCTTTCACTATAGCATTAAATGAAAATGAGTTTACACATCATTATTGCTTTAGGTTTATCACCTCGTTGATTTATTTCAACAAGGGATTGACTTGCAAGCTGGAGAGTGGGTAATAATATATCATTGAATTAATTTTCCAGCATTTCTGGAGTGCCAGAAATTAATTGAATTAAACAAACTCTTCCCTTATATTCTTAAAATTTATTCTCAGATTCCATCTTTAGGCACTTTCTTTCTCCACTCTGTACTTCAATCTGCATATTAACTAAATCACTGTTTTCTTTTAAAGATTTTGATTAAGAGGTCCTGCTTCCCTATGAAATCCTGGTAATTTATTCTCTATAACTAAGACCTTCTGAATTTTTGTGGTTAAGTTTTGGGATTAACAAAATGATATGCAAGCTATATGCAGAATATCTAAGTAAAATGCTTGTAAAAATTAATTAATCAATAGAGACTATATCTAGTTTTTCACGAGATTTGCTACCATTTCTAATCATTACTGGAATCTACCTTTGGGAGAGTGAGTCTATGAAATTTAGAACAGATTTTCAGCAGAAAGAAGAGTTAAGTAAACCCTTGGCACCTTAAACCTAAATTTCTGGATGTTTTTGGATTTTTTTATATCCCAAGGTAATTTATTACAATTATGTAAGTGCAAAATGGACTAAATTGAAATAATTGATGGCCTATTTTCAAACATGTGCATATAAAATCTATCAGCATCAGTTTGTTGAGGTTGATTTATTATCTGGCACTTTGAATTTGTCTAAAACAGACAAGTAGAAAACAGGAAAATTATTATATTTTCAGGCAAAGTAGGGAAAATCTGCAATCTCTGGGTCCTTTGTAATATCCCCAAGCACAGCATCTTATTCTAATACATCTTAGAGGTCTTCTGGCCCAACCTCTATTCAGGAATCCCCTTTTGACATATGAACAGTAAAAAAGAAGGGTGAACTCTGGATAAACAAAGAGGGTAGGAGAAAATGAAGGAAGCATTATATTTTGAAAGGTAAAGCCTATCCATAAAAATAGTTACCAACATTAAGCTACCTGATTCAGAAAAAAATATATCCTTCTAGAAGCCAAACTAGTACTCACATCACTAGCAATGTCTCTTGAAGCTTTAGCTAGCTGTACAGAAATCGCATCAACTGGGAGATCATAGCCTTTCTTCAAAGCTTCTTCCCATCCAAGTTTATAGAGTTTCTGAAAATTAAAGATATTCTTCAGCATTATTCTGTCTAAATAAAGAATCCCAATAGATAATTAGGGGAAAAGTTTACCTACAGAGTGAATATCAGATCAAATGCCATCTACCCTATCTTTAAAGATATGGATAAAAATAAAATGAGCTGTTTCAAGGAGTAGAAAAGCACTGACTCAGCATCATATGACCTGGCTTTAATCTTTTTGGCTGTGAGAATCCTGGTGGTAAACATATTTTATCACAGCCTCTGCTGCTCAGAAACAATTTGGTCATATCAGGCATATCAGGTACCTTTCTCACTGCTGTTAACTAAAGCCTGGGCTTACTATTTTGTAGATAGATATTAAGATAATTGCTAATGAAAAGAAAAACAGGTCACACATTTTAATTAAGTGATAAAAGCAATAAATGGTGAAATGCCTTTTATAAATTGCAATAATTTAGTTGTAATCTTTCTGAGTTGACTTTACTGATTGAACGGATGTATGTGTGTTAAAACTGGGTAATAATAAAAATAGCTCATAGTTATCCAGTACTTTCCATGGGCCAGGTACTGTGTTGAGGGTCTTACACGGAATTTCCCATTTAGTCCTCATGGCAATCCAATGTCATAGGCACCTTTATGGTCCCAATTTTAGGGATGAGGAAAGTGAGACTGAGAGAGGTAATTGAATTACCAAGCATCATACAACTCAAAAATGGCAAAGCCAAAACTCATACCAAGTTGGTTTGATGCAATTTTTAATTTATTTGTGTATTTATTTATTAGAGACAGGGTCTCCCAATGTTGCCCCAACTGGATTCAAACTTCTGGGCTCAAGGGATCTTCCTGCCTCAGCTTCCGAGTAGCTAGGACTACAGCTGCATGTCATTGCACCTGGCTGTTTGGTGTAATTTTTCCAACTATTATCTATTGATTTCCTACTTGGTACCAAGCACAACAAGCACAGAGATGAGCAGGCACAGAACCTTCCTCCATGAAGCATACAGTGGTGGCTGATGCCTTTGCCCTTAACCACTCTATTTTGCAATATCCTGGGCTAATCACTTCCAAATTTTCATTATGTCAACATTTATATCAGTATTTACTATTACATTATTTTATAAGTTTCACAAGTTTCAATACAAAACTTAAAAGTAATTTTTATTAGCTTTACCTGACTATACATTGTTTGATTCTGCTTGGCTTGTAAAATATCTGGTGTATCAGGCATCACATGAATCTTGGTCTTATCTTTATTCCAATCAACGGTGTATAAATGCTAGGAAGTAGGGGGAAAAAGATATGAAATTTGAATAACTGTTTGGGACAAGCAGGAAAGAAAAATACATATTTATATAGTAGTACTTGAATGCACTCAATTTGAAGTAGCAAATAATAACTAAGGTAGCATATAATTCAGAAAAATCCCTAAAAAGAAACTCAGATTAAAAAAAAATCTTTCAATTATTTCCTATTCTCTACAATGGATTGAACGTATTCAAGATATAATAATTAAAAACATGAATAATTTCTAACCCAATTGAAGGTAGAGAGATGAAAAAAGTAAGAGGTGAGCAGAAGAAGAGGAAGGTACAGGGGAATGATCTGGAATGGTTTGCCACAGCCTAGGAGTGATGGACCTGAATTAGATTTCTCTAAAGAAGAACAAGATCCTGCTAGCCTTTCCTCACATGGGAGCTGTGTGGAGGGCCACCGTTGTCTCTACCTTGTTCATGGTATGTGCATTCTGCTTGGCAAGCACCATGTCCATGGAATCAGTCAGTTTCTTAAACTGGAAGTTGCTAGGGTGCTGGCGGTATTTCTGATCACTGGCATATTCAGTTGCTTTCTTGGCCTTCTCCACTTCCAGGGAACCTGCTGGACTCCAGCCAAGCCCTTTGTACCATTCATTGTAGTCTTGCTTATATTCATTCTATAAAGAAGATAAGTAAATTCTACTTTATCTTATCCATTTAGATACAAAAGCATGGCAGGTAAACAGATTGTGAATCTCCCTTCCCATGCTAGGATTCCAACCATCACCCAAGTAGAAGAGAGGCTTACATCACTCTGTATGCGATTCATATTCCTTGTCAGCTCAATGTTCATTGCATCTGGAAGGAGGATGTACTGGTGAATCAGGTGCTTGTAGTTAGTGTTGGTGATGTTGGCTTGGGCATCCTTGGCAGCTGTGACACTGAGCATGTCAGCAGGCGTGTGGTAGCTGGTCTTTGTGTTCTCATAGTTTTTCTTGTACTCCCGATCAGATTGCATCTTAGCCACTTGCATGGAATGGACTAATTTGGGATCATCCTCAAGACTGCGGAAACCAACCATTTTCCCCTTCCCTTTTTCATAATTGTATTTGTATTTATACTGTGAAGAAAATATGAGTTTTTACACAGAGCAATTCCTTTGACTAAAAATCAGTCTAGTGTCAATATGCTATATTTCATTAAAACATTTGTATAGAGTTCTACAGTTCAAAAACATATTTTTTTCATATTTATTGGTGTAACTTAATACAACTTTCCCTTGTGGGGTAGATGGCAAAGTTCTTATTACTGCCCTCATTTTATGGATGAATAAGCTGAGACCCAGAGAGCTTAGCAACTTGCTGAGGCCACTGAGAATTAGAACCCAGATCTTGTGATGATGCATCATACTGACTTACATATGTAGTTTCCCATTAGTGCTAAGAGGACTTTAGTAGGTAATAATACAGAAAGTTTTAAAAAGCAAAAAACAGAAAATTTCTCTTAGTGCTGTCCTAAGAAATCATCCTGTCAGTCATTTACTGGTGAGAATAGGTTCAATTATGAGACACACTGTGTAATTTTTGAATAGTTTTATATTTGTGGAGCTCCTTTTTCTTTAAGACTCCCTAAACTGCTATAATGGGGAAGAAACTGAACTATTTATCATCCCAACTTTCTTCTATAGAGGGGAGATCTTGATCCATAAAGAGCTTCTTTTTCTGCCTATCTCCTTGTCGGGTTGAGTGTGCAAGCTGACGGCAGAAGGTAGTAGAGCCAAATTACTCCAGTATAATAGAGGGGAGAAGAATTTGGAGGTCTCAGGATAATAAGAGAGAGTGGGATGGGCTGGACAGGTAGGGAAGATGAAGAACAAAGATACAAGAGGAAAGAGAAAGTAAAACTGCTGGGTGACCAAGGGACAAGTGTTCTGAAATGTGCTCCTCCCAGGACCTCCAAGTCACTAAATGCTCCCTGTGAGTGGATTTCTTGTGGAAGCAACCAAATGAAAGAATTGAGTTTCATATAGGTGGCATATTATGACAGTGATGTGCTGGTACTCCTGCTTTTTGCTGGGGGTGGGGGGAAGCCTTACTTTGTAGTGTTTGCCAGTTTCTGTCATGTAAATTCACCCATCATAGCCAATATCAAGGTACCAATGGTTTAACAACGGGTTTGCAGAAATTCCTGATTATTTACTATCACCTGTCATGAGCCCAAATGATCAGCACCCTTGCATACACGAGCATCCTGTTAGGAAGTCAGATCTGAAGAAACAGGAGGCAAGAACAACACAAGCCTTTCACCAAGAAAGTTTAGATGACTTTGAATTTCTATAAGCCATAGCCTTGGTGACAGATTCAAAGTAAGTTTACCTAGATCTCATGATTCAGGGAGCTGACATCTATGAGGGTCATAATGTGGTTAGCTTGGTGTTTTTTCAGAAATATCAGAGAAAACACTAAAGCAAGGTTAAGAGGCATTCACAGACAGTGAAATCCACTGCTTTTCATACTGTGTCCACTCAGTGTTTCCAGAACTCAGCCCTTATTATTTTGGTTCCTTAGAAACCCTGAGTCAGGTGACTGCTTTCCTTCGGACTTACATCACTTGCAATATCTCTTGACGCTTTGGCAGCTTTGATAGGAATTGCATCAGGCCTGAGATCATAGCCTTTCTTTTTAGACTCTTCCAAGGAAAGTTTGTAGAGTTTCTGTAAAGAGAGGTGAAGGGATGAGTTTTCTTCTAAATATGAAAGCCTGGACTTATTTTAGAAGAGTAAACTAGCACTGTGGCATCTTTTTTTGTTTTGAGGAGAATGCTTCATTGGTGTGTCAGTGGCTGAATGTTCCTACAAGTAATGTATCTGTGTTTGAAGAAAAATCTGTAACAAACTCAAACATATTTTCAAGAAACTACCAGAAAAACTAAGAGTTACTGGTCTCTATTAGGTTGTAAATATACTTTAAAAATGTGAAAGTCCCAAAGATTCTCACTGATGCAAATAAGAGTTAAAAGAAGACTACAAAACAGCCATGTTCTTACATCAAAAGAAAACTTCAGTTTTATAATCAACCCTTTTATTTGTATAATAATGTGGAATCTATATTTTTTTTTTTAAAAAAGGTCAGCTAGTCCACATCTCTGTGGAATTCAAACAAAGATAAGAAAAAAAAAATGGGTAGGATTAGAGGATTTCCTAGCAACTATGATTAGGACAAAAAAGGAAATGAAATAAACATCAATGCATTTTCTAACAAGTGTTGTACATTCCTTGTTTTGGGGTTTGCCCCCAAATTCTCCAAAATGTTTTTCTTCCCTTTCCATTTAACCCTTTCTTTAGAACATCTTAAAAGTTCGATGGAAAGGCTCTTTAAGAACAAAATGCTAGGACTCTCATTTCCTTTTTCTCTTCTCCTGGCCCCCGAGCCTCTCTTCTTTCTACCAAATCTCTCAATTTAATGAGTGCCTGCCCCTGGGACAACATCACCCTTCAAATTTTTAACTGCTTGGCCCAACCCCATCGACAGCCCTACTGCAACTCCATGAAGGAAGATTAGAAAGAGAAACAGTCTCATGTGTGGATTTCCACCATTATTTTTTAAACATTCACTCTTATAATTGAGAGAGATGTCAGTTCATTTGTTCTTACTGGTTCAAATCTGCTGGAGAGAAAGATGAAAATGGGGGGAACTATACTTACATCACTCATATTAATTGCATTTGCCTTTGCCAAAATAATCTGAGGGATATCAGGCATGATGTGTACTTTGGTTTTATCAGCCTCCCATGCTTGTTTGTAGAGATGCTAGGAAAAAAACAGTGTAAATTAGTGTTTAAAATCTTAAAAGAAGCTCACTTAGTACATACATATCATTGTGCATATATAGCAATATCTAACTAGGTATTTATTTATTTATTTGAGACAGGGTCTTGTGCTGTCACCCAGGCTGGAATGCAGTGGCACAGTTATGGCTCACTGCAACCTCCACCTCCCAGGCTCAAACAATCCACCCTCCCACCTCAGCCTCCTGAGTAAGTGGGACTACAGGCATGTGCTACCAAGCCTGGCTGATTTTTATATTTTTCATAGAGACGGGTTTTTGCTATGTTGCCCAGGCTGGTTTCAAACTCCTGAGCTCAAGCGATCCACCTGCCTCAGCCTCCCAAAGTGCTAGTATTACAAGTGGGAGCCACTGCACCTGGCCCCAAAAATTTTAATGGAAGTGTTGCTTATTAAAACAATACAGCAAAGAGGATATACAATGGAAAGTAAAAATGCTTTTTCCCCTTATCTTACAGCATGGAGATAGCATTTGCCTCCTAAAATTTTCTGTGCATATTAATAAAAATACATATGATACTTTTAAAACACAAATGAAGCCATGTTCTACATCTTGCTTTTTAATTTAATAATATAGGTTAGATATCTTTGAACCTTCTTACAATAATTTGCTTCATTCATTTAGAGAGCTATATAATATTTCATTAGGAAGTATAATCTAATTGATTTAACAAGTTAGTTCTCTGTTGATGAATATTTAATTTATGGTCTCTAGCCTTTTTCTACTACAAGCAATGTCATGATCCTTGTGGTGGACATGGAGATATGCCACCAATATACCCATTCAAGGAAGGACCTGATGCCCCAGCTTTTGGCAAACAGTCTGTAGTCATCAGCTGTCTCACTCAAGAGCATGCCCTTCCCAGATAACCACATCCAACAACTCATCGAAGTGGAGGTACACAGATCTAGCCATTTCAGTTCAGTGCATGTCTCTACTGACAGAGACACTTGAGAGCCCTCTGTGGGACTGGCCAAGACTTTGTTATACCAGCATCACTCTTCAGCTTCTCCACCTGCCTCGTCCTTTCCTCCCAAGGACTAGAATCCCCCAAAAATACTCTGTACCCCAATTTTCATCTCAGCATCTCCTTTCAAAAACCCTAAAATGCAAAACATAGTCTCGTGTATATGTATGTCTATGTATCTCTGCACACATACATAAAGATTTCTATAAGGTAATGATACCTGAATTTTTAATTTTTACAAACATTAACAAATTGCCCATTAAACGTTTAACAGAAACTCCCTTACAGATACTATGTGTAATATAGCTTTCTAATTTTTGCAAATGCAGTAGATGAAAAATGTTATCTCTTTGTTTTAGCCAGTCTTAATTAAGAATAACATTCTTCTGGAATAGAGGTTGGCCAATTTTTTCTGTATAGACAGAAATTCGTTAAATTTCAGGCTTTATGGGCTGCACAATCTGTCATTAGCTACTCAACTCTGTTGTTGTAGTTCAAAAGCAACCAGAGACCATATGCAAACAAATAGCTGTGGTTGTGTTATTATAAAACTTAATTTATAAATACAGTTGTTTTCTGAACCTTGTTTTAGACCAGCACTATACAACAGAACTTTCTGCAATGATGGAAATATTCTGCATAATCCAAGGTGGTAGAATCTAGCCACATAAGTTGATTGATGTAGCTAATGTGAATGAGAATCTGAATTGTTAATATTAATTAATATAAATATAAATCAACATATGTGGCTAGTAGTAACAGTATTGGACAGTGAAATGCTAGTGGAAAGAGCAGTGCCTAGTTATCAGAATCCCTGTTCCAATCCAGACCCCGCTGTTGACCTGCTGTGTGCCCTTCGGGGAGGTGCTCTGCTTCTCTGGGCTGTTCTTTTCTGAATTTTGCAATGAATCTGCGATTCAACTTGATGATCACCAACATGTCTCTCAGTACCAGTGTGTGCTGGTTCTATGATTCTCATCTTGGCATCATTATCCTGAAATGTTAATCACTAACACTGAAAAATATCTATATGCTCATGATAGTTTAGATTCTGAATCGTAAAAGGGGCACAGAGGCTTGCGCCTTGTCTTTTAGGCAGGTCCCTTTCAAGGAGGTTGATCTGCACAAATCTTTCAATTATCTGAAGACTCTAGGGGGTTTACGCCATGAATTAGCATAATATAGCTTTATCTTTCTAGCACAACTAGGGCCATTATTTTCTGCAACTGTTTCATGTTTAGATCTAAATAATCTTTTTCTGTATTATGTTAATCAAAGGCATTTCTGATTTTGATCCACCAGTGCTGCTGCAGTTATTTTATTATTTTTAACTTCAAAAGCAGATGTTCAAGATTGATTGTACTTGTTGGTCTTGATCTCTTATTGCAAATCAATGTAAAAATAGAGCAAGGCTTTTCTAAAAGCTGGAATAATTAATGAACCAAGGCAATACTGACGTAGAACAATTGCCCTCAAGATTGCCCAGAGAAGGTCCCAGTTTGAAATGCTGCTACATCCATTAATCTTGGAATTTTCTTTGATCCCATCAAAGCAGTAAGGAAGCTGGGGTTGGGGGGGGGAGGTGGTTTGCAACAAAAGCTGTCACCAGGGAATCTGCTGATTTAGTGTCATAAATGTCTATTCAACCTCACCTTATACAAACAGGACTCATTTTCAGCTGCTGCAGCAAAAGAAAGAATCCCTATTTATTTGATTATGTCAATAAGATAGGATGGTTCATGGAAATATGAAGACCACTAGTTAGAAATAATTCCTATCTTTTTTTTTTTTAATCCCAAGACTATTTTTCTAGGTAAAATAACCTCAAGTATGATGCCCTATAACTATTAGCAAAACCTGTGGATTAAATATAAGTTATACCTGGATTCTCTCTGATGCATATGAAACACTGCATTATTGAAAGACTTACTTCGTTCATAATTTTTGCATTATTCTGGGCCAAAACCATGTTCATTGAGTCCATCAGTGTGGAATACTTCAAAGTGTCTGGGTGCTGGCGGTACTTCTTTTCACTAATAATCTCCATGGCTTTCTTGTTTTTCTCCGCTTCCAGGGAGCCCAGAGGGAGCCATCCAATGCCCTTCATGAAGTCAGCATAGTCGGCCTTGTACTGATTCTGCAAAAGACGCAAAATTAAATCATAAAACTTCCCAAGGATTCCAAGTGTGTGCTTAATATTCTGTAACTTCCACTTCATTTATAACTTTTCTGTAACTTTTCCACTTCAATATTTGGTGGAATATTGGTATTCAACCAACAGTATGTTGAATTTCATCCACTTCCTCCCTAAGCTTTCATCTTTTTTATATTTCCTTGCAGGATAAATTAAAAATAAGCAGAAATGTCTTTGTGACTTTTCTCAATGTCTTCATAATGAAAAAGTACTAAGGAATACCACATAGATTCATCTGCCAGGTGACTGTTATTTCCTTGAGAAAGGTGACAATGCTGACCTTTCTCACAAAAATTCCCAAGTCCCCTTGGTTAACAGATGACCATGGAAACCCCATGTTTCTCTTATGCCATCTTTGATCACCCACCACTGTTACAATTCCCTCAGGTATGCCAGAAACTTTCCTGGTACTTTGTGTAAATTTCATTGTTTGCCCCTCTGCTTTGACATCTCTCTCTAAAACTGTATCATGGTTGCTTTCATTCAGACTCTATGTAAAGACTTAGCTTTGTCTTAGATGAAGGGTTTTAGAGCCTCTCTAAAATTAGAGAGGAGGCACTGGTGAGGGAAAGGGAGCAAACTCTTTTTATTCCCTGGCAATTAATAGCTCAGCCTTCACATTCCCAAAGAGAAATGTAGGCTTGGTGTGGTCTGCTTTGGGTTTGTAACTTAATTCAGCTCTCCAACCATCAAATGTCCTCTTTAGCTAAATTCTTGGCTCTATACTGTCTTCCTTATATTTATTCCAAAAACGGCCTCAGCCATCACCTCCTCAAAATTTCATCAGTAAGATCTGCAAGGTTAGAAGCGGTGGAAATGAAAGCCGGTTAGGGGGTTGGGGAGGGGGCCTGAGCTATCAGGTTATCTGATTTCTTTTCCTTTCATTCCTCTATTAAAAGCCTAATATGCTTTTGACCATCTTTGCTAGACATATGTCCTTCACTACATTCTTTGTGAAACGAAGTTCCATTTGCTGTCGTGGTATTCAGAATCCAACAATGTTCACACCAACAACAGCAGAAAAGACGTCTTTCTAGAATTGATCTCCTTTTGCTAAAAGACATGAATTCAATCTAAGGTAACAAATGAAACACTCTGTGGGAAATTGCAGAAGAATTTCTTTCAGGATTTTCAAAATGTTATTACTTATGGTCATTCATGATTGCTTATTATCCAGAGTAAATGCTCTGCAAATGTTGTGGCTTTCACATACATCACTTTGAATCTGCATCATATTTTTGGCCAATTCAAAGTTCATGGCATCAGGAAGCATGTTGTAGGTATGGATCACGTTCCTGTAGTTGGTGTTGGTGGCTACTTCCTGAGACTTCTTGGCTGCTACCACACTGAGCATGTCCACCGGGGTGTGGAAGGAGGTCTTGGATTTCTCGTATGCCTTCTTGTATTCCCGGTCTGACTGCATCTTGGCCACTTGCATGAAGTGCACCAGCTTGGGGTCATCTTCCAGGCTCCGGAAGCCAATGTGTTTCCCTTTGGCTTGTTCATAGGCTTGTTTGTATTTGTACTGTGGACAGAGAAGAAATTGTGACAATGAAAATGGTGAAAGAAAGAGAACAAAGTACCATTCGCTACATGACATTAGCTTTGTCTTAGGTGAAGGGTTTTAGAGCTACTCTCAAATTAGACAGGGAGGCATCGTGAGGGGCAGGGAGCAAACTCTTTTTACTTCAGTTTTTTTCCCCCAGACTTGAGTTCATGGAAAGAAAATAACCTTAGAGTTATATGAAGAGATCTGAAAATAAATTGGTTTAGAGAGATTTAGAAAGCAGATTTCCCCACTCATCTGTCTGAATGACAAAAAAGGCTGCAGGCATGATTTTTCATGGTGCATCTTTAAATTCAGGAGAGAGACTGGCCATGGGCCTCCTGGATAAAACGTAGATTGCATCTTTACATTTGCTTAGAATTGTCTGTAAATAACTTGAATACTCTAAAGGCTACTTATTTTAACAAGACTCAGTCACTATTTACATTAATTAATGAACAGATGATTAGAGGGTGCTAGGATGGGGTGAAGGGAGGTGTCTTGTATGTCACATGGGATAGCATTCCCACCAACCCTGAGTAAAGCTGACCACAGCTCCTACATGCACACAAGCTTGACACATTTGTTCTTACTTGCTCATCCCCAAAAAGGTCCAGTGGAAGCACTTACATCACTGGCAATGTCTCTAGAGGCTCTTGCAGCCTTAATTGCAATGGCATCAGGCCTTAGATCATATCCTTTCTTCTTTTCCTCTTCCCAGCCAGCTTTGTACAGTTTCTAAACAATAAAATAGAAAAACAACAGCATCTTGTTATTGGGGTTAGAACAGAGGTCCCAACTACGAAGTGGTTGGCATGTAGAAGACAGACGTAAGTATCAGTTCCCTTTACCCTTCTCCCCAGCTTTTGCTGTTGTTAATCTACTTACATCACTCATGGTGATTTGGTTTACTCTGGAGAGTAAAATATCTGGTGTGTCTGGCATGACATGAATGGTGGTCTTGTCCTTGTTCCATTTTTCAGTGTAGAGCCTCTGCAATGAGAAAGTCAGGTGCATGATTTTACAGCAGGACAAGTTTACCTCAATGCTAGCAACAGGAAGAGATTGGCATTTCCATGGTAGAAGAGGTTAAATGTGGTATTAGAGAAACGGATGAAATAACAAAAAGATGGGCCGAGTAAACTAAATATACAATGAAAAAAAACATTATTGAATAAGGGAACCCTCTACCACCAAAGCATCAAATACCATCTTGCCTCCTCTGCACAACTAGGTAGAGTTTTGTGGTTCTGTCACATTCGTAACATGCTATTGTGAGATGACCTGAGGGGGGTCACTATGAAAGAGAACACTCTCAACATGATGGAAGCAACAGAGTCCTCCTACCAACACCACCAAGACGATCAGAAAGATAGAAACACTGAAGGAGACGATGGGGGCATTTCCAGGCTCAATGGCGTGAGCACCATGAGGGTTCCCTGGGCGAGGCTAGCAGGTGAGTCCTTACCTTGTCCATGTTCAGTTTGTTACTCTTGTTAAGTGCCTGTTCCATTGTGTCCATGGCGTATGTGAACTTTAGCTTCTCGGGGTGCTGGCGATACTTCTTCTCACTAAGAATCTCTCCTGCTTTCTTTGCCTTCTCCACCTCCAGGGACTCTATGGGGATCCAGCCAATCCCTTTCATCCAATTGGTGAAGTCAGATTTGTACAGATTCTTTACAATGAAAAACAAAAAAAACATTTTTCATTTCAGAAAGAGTCAGGGCTTGGGTTTCTTTGGCTACATGATTTACTTACAATCAAAAAGGAAAAAGGGAAGATGGGCAGGGGAAAAAAATCTGCTTTTTACTTCCTACAGTCTTTCAGAAGAAATTAGTTATAAAAGTGATTGCATTCATGGTGGTTTTGAACAGGAAATCCTGACCCAGCAATTCCTTTAAAAAGTTAACTTTCTTGAGGAAAAGAAAAATTAACAGAATTTCGCCCTGGAAGGAAAATTATATAACACCCATTTGAATCTCCTAATTTTTCATAGACAACATCATATGTTTGGGTCTAACACCAATATTTTAAATATATATGTACGCATATATAAAAAATTAACAACAAAACTACCTATAGTTCAAATGAGTGAAATCCTAAAACTCCCAGTTTTGGAGGGGATCCTTAATTACAGTGAGTGTGGCCAGGTCTGGGATGCAGCAAGTGATTCCTATTTTTCCCTCCCACCCATTAGAAATGGATGACAACTTGATAACCAGTACATACATCACTCTGAATCTGCATGGCATTCCTGGAGTGCTCCACATTCAAGGCGTCAGGCAGGAGAGTGTAGTTGTGGTATGGCTGTCTGTAGTTGGTATTAGTGGCAACCTCCTGAGATTTCTTTGCAGCTGTCACACTGACCATATCCAGAGGTGTGTGGTACTTGGTCTTGCTGGCTTCATAGCCCTTTTTGTACTCACGATCAGACTGCATTTTGGCCACATTCATGTAGTGAACCAGTTTAGGATCATCCTGAAGGCTGAGAAATCCAATTTGCTTGCCTTTGGCTTTCTCATAGGCCTCCTTATATTTGCACTATTTGAAAACAAAGGACAAACAAAAGTTGGAAAGCATAGCAGTTTGATATAAACCTAATTTATACAACACATTAAGCAAAAGCTAAATTCAGTCTGAATCTAGATAACATCTAAGTTTTTTTTTCATACTTTAAAATAAACAATTAGCAAAATATTTTTAATGGCTCATCTTGAGAACTGCTCTGGAGAGATCATTAAGAATGGAATAATGGGATAGTTTATATTTACACTCTTCGTAAGTAGATTATTTGAATATACCCAAAGGTTCCTGAGAAGTTTGTTTATTACGCATTTGATATACACTTTTATTTATTTATTTTGAGACAGGGTCTTGCTCTGTCCCCCAGGCTAGAGTGCAGTGGTGTGCAGTCATGACTCCCTGCAGCCTCCAACTCCTGGGCTCAAGGGGTTCTCCCTCCTCAGCTTCCCAAAGTGCTACGATTAGATGTGTGAGCCACCATGTCTGGCTAATGTATGCTTTTTTATTATCATATTTCCATTATTAATTTGTATTAACTTAAAAAGTATTTGCATAATTATGAGTACATTTCAGCCCTAATACAAATTAGTGTATTAATCTTGAAATTAATGTGTTTTTGCTCTATCAAGGTGTTTATTATGTCAATTCATATAGGAATATAACTTAATTTGTAAAAAAAAATAATTAAAATCCTGTTATGTAATGAACTTAAAGTAATTAACTAAAATCCTGTTATGTAATCCATGGAACTAGAAATATGGAAAACCACAAAGAATTAGCAAAATATTTTTTCTGGTTTTCCATGTTTCTATTTCCATGGATTTTTTTCTTTGTGGAAATTATAAAATTAAAATGTATTCTTTTAAAATACTTGGAGACTTTTCTAATTTAGTGTTATTTTAGTATATCATGACTTTTTCTGTGACAAAATCCAAAGAAAAAGTGTTTTTTAAGTTCCTAATGATACTAATGAAAATTTCAAATACTTCACAGTTTTTAAAAAAGAATTTTCTTCTTTGTAACAACTTTATTAATCTTTCAAATATGTGAAAAATATTTTAAGTGAAGCAATATAAACAATGTAATTGGCAATCAGGATTTTAGAAAATATTTTTATATTATAATTTCTTTACTTGATTGTTTATGCAGTTGATACAGTCTTACATATCACATATAGATTTTTTTTTTCCTTTTTTAGAGACAAGATCTCACTTGGTCACCCAAGCTGGAGTGCAGTGGTACAATTACAGCTCACTGCAGCCTCAAACTCCTGGGTTCAAGAGATTCTCCCATCTCAGTCTCTCAAATAGTTGGGACTATAGGTACACACCACCACACCTGGCTAATTTGTTTTTATTTCTATAGACACAGGGTCTTGCTATGTTGCCCAGGCTGGTCTTGAACTCCTGAAGTCTTTTAGATAGACAGAAAGTTTCCTACTTTTAAATAAGACTTACATCACTAGCAATATTCCTTGAACTTTTTGCAGCAACAATTGGGATGGCATCTGTTCTCAAATCATAGCCCTTGGCAAGAGTTTTCTTCCAATCTGCTTTATAATAAGCCTGCAAAAAAGTAGAGGTTATTTGATTATTTGACAACATTAAAAGAGGAATGAAACAGAATGCCAAAATATTTCTTATAAAACATGTCATAATAGATCCATTTCTATTAAGACAATCTACAAAGTTAGGACTATTTGTCTTTTACATATATATTAGATTTTATTTAAAAGAATTAGTAAACTGTTTACACAGTATAATCTCAACTGATCAAAAAATGTATATTTTTCATAACAATGCAACAGAAAGGTAATGCTTTGACTGTTGGATAACAGAAGGTTTTCATTTATTTTGCATAATTTTCTATATTTTCCAACTTTTCTATAATATATAATACTTTTGGGAAAAATTTTCTTGCAATGAAGTATTTCAAGCTTATGGAAAGATATGAATACCAAAACTAAAAATACAGATGTAGTACAACTCAGCTTTGATTGATCTTACTGCTTAAATATTACTTATAAAATTAGAAAAAAATTTAAATGAACCAAAAGCATAGGAATGTATAGATGGAGATGAAACAGAACCTAAAAACATTGGAAAGAATGACTAAGCCATCTTTTAAGAAATTAACAATTTTATCCAAGTTTGATTATGTTTTTAAATTAGGATTTATCAATATCTTTTTTTAGAAAAGGAAACAATTCATAATAGTGGATCTAAACATTACCACCAATTAGGTGTCTAGACTACTCAAGAGAGAGGCTAGTTACATACAAAAAAAGAATTTGTGAAGAAAACGAAAATTTTCTGGATGTTTTCATAAGTAATTAAAATAAAAGTTGCAGAAAGCAATATTTTCCACACTACAGACTAGGTACTCTTGTGTTTTCTAAGCTTGTCTATCTCATGTTCCATTTTTTTTTTTTTTTTTAATGGGACACAATGTACTTGACTGACTTTACAACCCACTAAGGAGTCACAGCCCATAGTTTGGAAAAGTCTATATTAGGCAAAATTGTATTGTGGCCCTAGGCTCATGTTGTATGGTTAAGGGTTTAACGTGGAGGCTCTGTGTTCACACTCAATTTCCCCCTCTACAATTCTCAGGGAAAGAGTTACGAAGAACCAGAAAGGAGAGGCCCGCATAGGCAATATTAGCACTGGGCCAAATACTCACGTCACTCATGTTGAGGGCGTTGACCTTGGCTTGAATAAACTGAGGCAATTCAGGATCAATAGTGTACTTGTGCTTCAGTTTCTCTCCCTCCACCTTGTAGTTCAACTAAAAGCAAAGGAGGCAGCAAGCACATATCATTAGCTCACATCATGTAAGTTTCATCAAGCACAGAGGCCTTTAAAAAGGAAGCCTATCATTGTGTTTTCCATTTACGAAACAAATGCCTACTCTGTTATAAGGGAGGGGACCCTGGTAGATGCAATTATGTTCTCATTCTACCAGTATTTACTGTGGGCCAGGCAGGATGGTACATTCTGTGTTTAAAGAGGTGAGGAAGGCAGATCTGTCCTTATTGGAGCTTATTGTCCAACAAAAGGGACAGAAAAAAAAACATGTAAACTACAAACTATCACTAGAATTTGTGATGTGTGGTCAATGGAGTAATTGTAGCAAAGAAACAAGGATGGTCAGTAAAGCCACTCTGCAGAGGTAATATTTATGCTCAAACTTGGAGATGGGGCAGAGGAAGAGCATTTGGGACCTGAGGCTGGAAATGGCCTGGCCACCTTGAGGAACTGAAAGCAGTCTAAGTCATGGGGCTGGAATGTGCCTGGGTAGAGGTGCGGTAGGGCAGTATTAGACAGGAGGTGCAGAAGGGTCACAGAGAGGAGGGTCTTTTCAGTGAAGTTGATGAGTTTAGATTTCACTTCACATTCAAGAAGTTCCTAAGGGGTTTTACACATGAAAGGGACAGGCTTGGATTCGTGTTTTAAGACAGGCTTTTGTGGTTGTTTGAGACCCCAGGCAGGGAGTCCAGATAACAGGTTATTACAGTTGTCCATATGAGCCATACGGAAGCTGGAAGCAGGGTTGGTGGCCGTTGGGAGCAGGCTGGCTGAGAGATATTTAGGAAGCTGACTCAGCAGATGCACTGGATGTGGGAGTTCACACAGGGAGGTGTTAACAGTGGCTGCCAAGTTCCAGCTTGAGTAACGAGGTAGATGTTGATGGCATTTATTGTGATGGCGAAGACTTTATATAGTGAGTGTACAGTTTGCCTAGCTAACTGGAAAAACACCACGAGAAGCGACATCTCGCTCGGTACAAAATAAATCAAAGAATTTATACCGTGTATTACCCCTAAGATAGAATTAACCCTTAGACATCTGTGATAATGTGGGGGCAGAAGCTAAAATCCACAGATACTCAAATCCAAGGCAAGGAAAGCGTTCCCAACCTTCCAAAATCTGGGGCTAAAAATACGAAAAGTCTTTTTTTGCTTTTTACTTACCCCTCTCTTGCTGGTGGAGGCATTTTAACAGAACTCTAAAATTAACAAGTCATGTGAGGCCCTGAGCATTGTAATTAGCTTCTGACAGAAAGAATAAGAGTCCATATAGATATAGTCTCAGAATGAGATCCCAGATGACTGCAAATAAACTGCTTATCTCCTCCCCAGAGGCCTCATTCTAAGATTGCCTCTCAGAACATGGAGCTATTATGCAAGGGGATTAGGACATTACGCCTCTTCCCTTTATGACTAGGTAGAACTATTGCAATCAAAGCAATAAATAGCTTCTTTTGCAATTCAGACAGAGCCACAGATAATAATAGTAATAATGTCATTTCATATGTATAATGTGTATCTGCTTACAAATAGCACAGGCTCTCTACATTTGGAAAACAAAGCAAATTTGGTATAGCCCCTCATTTTTGCCTCCCTGTTTTTCCCATGTTCAAGATCCCAGTTGCTTCAGAAGTCAGCCCTTTCTCTCGTACCTATGAAAGCAGTTTATTTGCTGACATAGATGCATCCTCATGCATTGAATTAGGAAGGATGGTGGAGCGGCTCAGACATGTGGGGTTATTTATGGACAAATCCTTTGAAAGGAAACCACTCACATCACTTAGCTGCTTTGTGTTCTGCTGAGCCAACACCATGCCCATGGAATCAGGCACACTTGTGAACTTGATGGTATCTGGGTGCTGTCGATACTTCCTCTCATTTAATGCATCGCCTGCTTTCTTGGCCTTCTCAACCTCCAGGGAACCAATAGGGATCCATCCGATGCCCTTGAAGAAGCTGTTATACTCGTCTTTATACACATTCTGTAAAAGGGTAAGCTCATATGAGAAGATACCCTGGAGAATATTCAAGGGATGTTTCTGGGATCTGAAACTCGCTAGCCAAGGGAAAGGAACAGCAACTCTTCAGCATGCTCATGTCTGACTGTCACAGAGCTTATCTGGAGGGTGGTAATAAGAAGAAGCTGCTCTGTTGTTACAGTGTATTACACAACACAGAAGGGAATCTAAGTCACATATTTTCATGGGTACTGCTAAAAACATTTTTTGTTGTTTTTGACAATAAATTGGTACTTTCCACAATGGTTGTTTATCTTAAAGCAGGTTTTTTCAAGTCTCTTACTTGAGACTGGAAGCCTGATAAAATGGAGAGAAATGACCATGCTTCAGAATGCATTATGCAACACAGAAGGGAATCGAGGTCTCCAAGGGTACTGCTGGAAAATATTTTGTCACTTCTGACAATAAACTGGGCTTTCCTTTTGATTTCACTGATGACTCCAAAACTAAATTACATCCATACTGTCCACCTAGGCTATGCCTGAGCTCATCCGGGGAGCAATAATTTCATCAAGTGACAAGAAATATGTAACAGCTCTTCCCTTTACAGAGGACAACTCTAAGAGAAATCTGGCTCCTGCAGAAGGAAACGCCCTGATTGTTAAACACCTCTCTGTGCAGCTCTCCATGAATCATGTTGCAAGCATAAATCTTTCCTGGTTCATTTTAGATGACTCATAGATTTACATGGAAGACATTGTGACCTTGAGTTAATAAAGGAAAAAAATAAAACCCCACCTTTCCCAAATTCAGGAAGGATAGAAAATTCTTCTATATTGCATTTTATATCTATCACCATTGCAGCCAACCCATCAGGAATATCCATCTTCTCTTGCTGAGAATCAAAGTGGCTCTCATAGTTAGTGGAATATACTTTTATCTTTCATTCATAAGTTATTAAAGACAACATTAATGATTATGATATAAGCATAGAAAGCAGGCAAAAACAGCTTGTCTACTATGCCTTTAGTAGTCTTTCAGTAATGGTTGTTTATTCTAAAATGAATTTTTCAAATATCTTACTGTAGTATGAGGTCTAATAAAAGAGAGAAATGATCATCCTTTAAGTGCAAACATCTCTGGGTCTGTTGTTACACATACTTACATCACTCTGAATTTGATTGACATTCCTCGTATGCTCAAGACTCATGGCATCTGGTAGGTATGTGTAATGATGCAATGGCTGTTTGTAGTTGACATTGGTGGCAACATCCTGGGCCATCTTTGCAGCTGTGATGCTAACCATGTCTCCAGGGGTATGGTAGCTGGTTTTGGTGTTCTCATAGTTCTTCTTGTATTCACGATCGGACTGCAACTTTGCTACATTCATATAGTGGACGAGCTTGGGATCATCCTGGAGGCTTCTGAAACCCACATGCTTTCCCTTTGCCTTCTCATAAGCTTCCTTGTATTTATACTGTGGAGGCAGAATTGGGTTAGCAAAGTCCTAGGCATTGATAACATTAATGCTACAATTATATTCACTTACAAAGACACTCAGAACATTGTGACTTTCTCAAGAGTGTACAAAAAATGCAAACCACAGCCTCCTCCAAAAGGTTCAGTGAAAACTTATATTGGAGTTTCAAGCCAATGTCATGATACATTTGAGATCAGTTTATTTTCTTTGCTATGACTCCTAGATGGTTTGCATGTGGAATTTTATTTAAAACAAACTGAATTTTCACACTTAATATGAACATAACACATTCTAAAGATAAGAGCAGTATCTCTTGGCTTCATAGAGATGTGAATGTTTTCAATTTAATATGTTCTTTTATATCACAAATATGGGTCCCAGCTGAAAGACAGCTGGGCCTTCACCAGCTTCTTTTATCAGCAGCTGCTTTCCAAGCTCACTGCTGAAACAGCTGCAAATGAATTAAGGAGCCACAGTAAGGACAGGACCTGCTGTGGGGTTTTCCCATCAATAAAAACCTAACGGACAAAGTTCTGCTGTCCACTGTCTCTCGCTGCAATGGAGATATAGATTGAACAATCCTGTAACAGGTCAAAACCTCAATTGTTATGCAAGACAATTCAAATCCACTTAAACGCTGCAGACTTTCAGCTCCTGCAATTTAAGCCTTAATTCATAAACAAGAGTTTAGCAGGCAAAAGGAGTCAAGTAATTTCTAGGCATGTGAAAAAGCACTGTGCAGTTGCTAAAAATAAATAAATAAAGTTGCACCATAGACTTTCACTCCCTACTTAAACTAGAAATGCATTTCATAGTGATGTGCATTGTGTGCAGATCTTTGAGAAAGACATTTTCAGTACCATTCCTCCAAGAAAAGCAGTAGCGTTTTTACACTCCTATCTCCTGTGTGGTCTGTACACCTAGTTGGTTTCTTCTCTTTTCTCAAATCAAGATTCTAGTCCCTGGGATAGCATGTAACAGTGAACTCTGCAGGGCATGCATGCTTTCTAAAAATTTTGTTTTTTAAAGATGGAAAGGAGTAGAAGTGTATACTTTTTCTGGTACAGATGAAATGGACATCAATTTACATGAACCAAAATTATATCCTAAAAAAGTAGACTTTTCCCCCTTTGGTTTATAAAAATCTGTACATTTTATATAACATTTTTTCAATGTTTTTAATACAGTTATAATGCAGTCAGTCATTTGAATTTAATGTGGTAATGCAGTCAGGATGTTCCCACTGAAAATAAATGTGGGCTGTCAGAGAAATGTGTCAGTGAAGGTAATTTGGGCTGTGAATCAAAGGAGAAAGCCACTGTCAGATTTATGACAGCCCTGCCAAGTGGGGTCAACTGAAAAGAATCAAAAAAATATTTCTAAAAGCGACAGGTTTTCCAAACAATATTTTGAGAATTTAAATGCCATTAATTTGACATATTTCTTTCAATGAAGTATCAATTTAAACAACATTTGATTACTTTTTAAAAAGGCAAACACCCAAATTTCATCTAAAATTTTTACTCACATCACTAGCAATGTTTCTCGATGCCTTGGCTGCAGTGATGGGAATAGCATCACCCAGCACATTGTTGCCCTTGGCTATTAAGTCATGCCAATCCCGTTTATAACAGACCTGGACAGAAAAGCAAACAGGATGTCAGCATCTGTGTACTCATCAGCTTAAGTGATTCCTTAACTGCTGGGATTGTTTTGTTCTTTTCCAGACAGAAGTTAAAGGAATCCTCCATAGCACATACCGCTTTAGGAAATCACATTGGCAAAGTGTCACACTTTGTGTGCAGCATGAGATCATTGAACTCTGCACTAATTATTGACCTATATCTGGTTTTGACACCTATTGAAGAGAGGAATATTCAAAGGCTGGATCCAGAGAAAAAGAACAAGGTTTTGGAAACTATGGTATGTGAGGATCAGCTAGAGACACAATGAAGTTGTTCATTCTCATGAAAGGAAGGTCAAGAGAACACCTGGTGGTGAGTTTTCGAAATTTTAGGGTTGTTATTTTAAAAAGGATCTCATTTATTGTTATGTTTCTGGAGGATAACAACCTCCCCCACATGCAAAACTAGGAAAATTAGGTAGAAGTTTTAGGGGAATAGATGTTGGGCTCTACATAAAGAAGAATGTTACATCCTTTAAAGTTGTCCTACACTTGAAAAGGTCACCTGAAGAGGTAAAGGACCATCCTTATGGGATATGTTTCAATGGGGGATTTGTGGGAAACTGACCTAAATAAATAGTCAAGGCACCATCCTACTCTTAAAGTCTATGATTTTATTGTCAGGTCTGAATTTGACATCTCAGCGAAGACAATACTTACGTCACTTATATTGTAAGCATTGCACTTGGCCTGGAGAAACTGAGGAAGATCAGGACTCATAGTGTATTTATGTTTCACATCTTCTCCTTTAGCTTTGTATAAGATCTGCAATAAAATGCATTTCACATAGTGCAGGAAGGAAATTCTATTAACTACTTGCTTTAAACAGTTATTTTTAGCACAATCAGCCACGATTTTCTACTGTTAAAAATCGTCAAAGGCATTTTTCTCTCTTTTTTTAAAAACAAAACAAGCATCTTATTATCTTAATACCCACAACTTTGTGTGTTAAAATAGAAAGAGAAAAAAATTCTTAAGAAAATAAAAATTGTTCACTGCCAGAGGTGAATGGAAAGGTAAATTCAACCATGAAGTCCTAGCAAGAATAATAAAATTCACCAGAGCCAAATAAATTTATTCTTTGCCTGTGAGTTAATAGTTCTCACATTTTTGTAAGTTTTTGTTTCTTTATACCTAGAGAGAAAATAGTAGTTAGAATAAATCTTTCATTTCTGCTAAAAACTTTCCAAAATAGAATTGTATCAATAAAAACATACAATAATTTCCTCATAATATAGAGGTGCTTATACACCAATCTAGCATACTCAAAAGGCTCACTATTTCATATTTACCCTATGTTGTTACTTTAAAGAATTATATATACTTTTCACTGAAAGGTGTCAAAATATGTGATGCAGAAATCTTACTGCATCCTCCTATCATATACATCCTTATTTCCCTGGCATGCCTACGTGGAGTATGACAAGTAAACTGGTATGCATGCAGCCAAGATAAAATCTGACATGGCTAATAGGTAAATTAATCCCCAAATACTAAATAATCTCTTCTAGGACCCAAAGAGTTACCTCTAAGTCCTCACTGCCTTTAAGCACAATATCTAAGCAATCACAGATTCATGAATTCAGCCTTCTACGCAGCTCCTTCTCTGACATTGCTACTGCCTTAGCTTCAGTCCAATTAAGAATTCCTCGGATTTCAGTGACAGCCTTCTAATTGATCTTCTTGCCTCCAGTCTCTCCTTTCCAAAGTCTCCACACTTGGGGCCAGCATTGTGTTTTAAAATACAGGCCTGATAATGGGACTCCACAGATTAAACACATTCTACATCTCTTTTTTACCTACCACATAATATTCAGACTCTAAAAATTAGCGCATGAGCCCCTTACTAACCAGGTTACAATTCTGAGCCTTTTGCGTCTATACTTTTTTCATTCCTTTTCTACTGCTATTATATTTTTCCTTTTGCCAGGAATGCTCGCTTCTCTCACTTGCCTGGGAAACTCAGGTAGGCACTTACCTTTGTACAAGGCACCTCCCTTGCTCTCAACATTTTTGTCTCCAGCAGCATTTGTCTCTCTGGATGACAATGCCCTGTTTGTAGCCATGTCTTTGTCTTATGCTCTTACCCTACATTCTTGTGAATTTCTATATCCCATGAATCCTCATCTATTTCATCTTTTTGCCACCAGCAGGTACTACAGTGCCTAGCACACAGATGTTCAAAAAGCATTCATTAAATAAATTAACAAGTGAATGCTTTTGATCTTCTATACACCAGACTTTCCTTTAGAAACTTTGACTTTAGCCACAGCATAGACGCTGCTCATGTACAGGCAGCAAACGACACTCATCTCAATCAGACCTAAGTTAAAAAGTCTATGATAATAGTATACGCTGAATTCTTAGGAGCAAAGACACATATTCATATGTATTACTTCTCTGTATTAATGTTTTATATATGAAAAGAAAATATGAGAAGCTTAATATAGAATCGAATACAACAAATCTGCCAAAATAAAGTGTCTGGGATTTAAGCTTAAATTCTGTGTATGTATGTGTGCATGTGTCTGCATGTGGCGTTCTAGAATAGAATTTTTCCACCATGTCACAATATTTCAAAGATTTAAAAGGAAGATAAAAAGCAAGAGAGAAGAAAATGTTAGTGCCCAAACTAAACATAACTAATTAAAAAAAAATTAAATAAGCAAAATAATAAATTTAAAATGGAAAGAATAAAAATATTGGGCTGCTGTTGACTTTTCTTAAATTGCCCAGAAGAATAAAAATATTGGGCTGTGGTTGACTTTTCTTAAAAGCTTCCTCCATATCCTCTGTCCTTTCTATTTTGTTGTACTCACATCACTGACTTGCTTTGTGTTCTGTTTTGCCTGGACCATAACTGGGGAGTCCACGATGCTGGTAAATTTGAGGGTGTCTGGATGTTGCCTGTACTTCTTTTCATTCAGAGCATCACCGGCCTTTTTAACCTTTTCGACGTCAAGACTGCCGATAGGAATCCAGCCAATGCCTTTCATCCAGTTGTTGTAGTCTTCCTTGTAGACGTTCTACAGCAATGGAGAAAAGAGGAGTGAGGGCCCAGGCCAGGGTTCTTCTCATGGCAGACCCTGAACCTACAGGTGGGTTTTCTTGAGGAGTAAATGACACTTACATCACTCTGTATCTGCATCATGTTCTTAGACAGCTCCAGGTCCATGGCGTCAGGCAAGTAGGTGTAATGATGGAGAGAATGCTTATAGTTGACATTGCTGACCACATCCTGAGCTTTCTTAGCCGCCACGACATTGAACATATCATGGGGCGTGCTGTATTTGGTCTTTGTCTTCTCATAGTCTTTTTTATACTCCCGATCTGATTGTGTCTTGGCCACATTCATATAATGAACCAGTTTAGGGTCATCTTGAAGACTTTGGAAGCCAACCATTTTCCCTTTAGCTTTTTCATAATCTTTTTTGTACTGAACCTATTGTAAACAAAGGTAGGCATAATTTAAAATATAGCTTTGAAGGTACTACTAAACAATGAGGTCACGATTTGAAGTAATTGAGCTTCTCCTAAATTCTTGTACTTCAATAACTGAACATTTAGCAATTCACTTCTATATGCTTTGAAATGTAGCCTGCTTAAAATAAAAATGTTATGTATTATAGAACCCACTTGATTGTCTGTAGCTGTTTCCAAGAGAGGTTGAGATGGGGGCATTACCATAATTGGTATCAGTAACGAAATAAATCTCTATAGTCTTCCTTTGCATTTAGACATTGGTAAAGAAACATGAAAAGATAAATATTTCACAATCTCTATCAATTTTATTGTGTTACTAGAGTGCAAGTAGCTGGATATTTGATTAGTTTTAGCATTTTTTTTATAGCAGCAGTAGGATGTTAATATTAATAATAGAATTTTAGTAAGTCCTTGGATATTCAAAGGGAGACCCAGAGCCAGGAGCAGGTAAACACTAACTGGCTCTGGGTAACACAGTGAGGGGGACTGAGCTTCCTTGGAGAGATGTGGAGGGCCCTGTGGGACACTAAGAAGCAGAGGCACAAGGGCAGGTTTGTGGTATGTCGGGGCAGGGGTGGCTGAAAGAAGGCACCCACAGAGAAAGGCGGTCAGTGAGAAATTCTGGGTGGGACAGGGGCATTTCAGGATGAGGACATTTGTTATTCACCCATCACATATTCACACTGCAGCGATGGAAACCTAATTTCAAACAATCAGGAAAGTGGTGTTTCGGACTCTAGGAAGTCAAAAGGAAGGGGCTGTGTTTCATTTCTGGGTCATACAGGGCAGCAGGAGGAGACCCGCAGGAGGAGGGCCCAGGTGAGCTCAAGCCAGCCAGGAGCCAGAGGTCAGCTGAGAAATAAAAATCTCAGAGATGCCACAGAAATCATGGGGAGGGGGATTCCAGTTCCTATAGAATAACAGATGGGGCCTTGGGCCAGTTTTATTGAAACCTCAAACAGCAAAGTGACTTCATTTCACATCTTGGTTAAAGACAAATAGGACAAGAAATAAAATTCTTAACTCTAGTAGAACCCAAAGACTGGCTATTAGAGGTGGTGAAATTGAGGCTAATTTACCTGTCTGTAGAAGTAATGAAGGAAAAAGGGAGAGGAAAGGGAAAGAAGAAGATCATATCAATAAAGTTTTGAGAAAATTTTACCATCAGGAGGCAATTATGACTTAAATGGTATCTCCACAAGAGAAGTATTGTGAGTCAGTGTAGAAATAGACCCCCTCAAAGTTAAATCTATTTAGGGAACTTTATTTCCTGAATAGTTTTCAATCAGATTTGCTTCCAACTGGGGACCACATGCATGGAGACATTTGGGTCATTGTCAGACCCCAAGCCCACCCACCCACATTTTCTAGTTGCCCACGTATGACCACAGCTGGACTTACATCACTGGCTGCCTGCCTGGCAGCTTTGGCAGCTCTGATGGGAATCGCATCAGTTCTCAGGTCATATCCCTTCTTGCTCAAGTCTTTCAAGTCTGCTTTGTACATATTCTGAAAGAAAAATGTCATTTAAGTACAACTTAGAGACCATATTAGTAGAGTCTGACACATACATCAGCCCAAGTCCGCCCACACACCTCACTGATATTGTAGGCATTAACTTTAGCTTGGATGAACTGGGGCAGGTCTGCTGGCAGGTTGTATTTGTGAAGAATTTCCTCTCCTTTGGCTTTGTAAGCGATCTGAAAGAGATAAAAATGCACAAACAAACAGAGAGAAAAGTTTAATGGCACTGGAAAATAATTTCCTAATGGATCCTATTTCACAGAGGTGGTTTTAAGGAGGACAGTCTTGTGCATTTGCATATTCATGTGCAAATATCTGTAGGCATTCGAGGTCTCACATGCAGTTACTTAGGATCCTGTCTCAGTGCTTATTCAGTTTTACAAAGATCCCTTGGAACTTGCACTAGGAGCTTCTGGGCCTAGGTAGGGGCACAAAGTGGCAATTAGCCCAGGGAGGCGGCCTGATGAAAATGGTCACCTGCAAACACTTTCCTGAGCGTGGGAAAGCATAATAGGGTAGAATACACCAACCACCTATATTATATTTTGTGGGAAATTAAAGATAAGTAGGATAAGAAATAAAATTCTTGCTATACTCATTCTTTCTGGTCTTTCCTAGAAACAGGCTTGTAGTTTTTGTTGTCATTAAGAGAAGTTCCTCTTACCTTTTCCTTAGAAAGCAATGTCAAATGGCTAAAAGGACAGTCAGCACAATATACATTATTGTAAATATATTAATTAGGAATGCTTTATTAATGAACAGCTGGGGAATTGCACAGCTGCTCATGTAATTGGGTCTCTTCATATTGTATAATAACTACAGGTGATCAGTCCATTTGAAATACAAATGTATTTGTATTAGCTGACATCTACTAACATATAGAGAGGATTAACACTTACATCACTCCTCTGGGCCTGGTTAATTTTAGCCTGTACTGTAATTGGAGCATCTTCAATCGAGGTAAACTTGAGTGTGTCTGGATGTTGGCGATATTTTTTCTGTTTGGCAAATAAAGAGAAAAACAATCTGGTTTTTCACTGAAGGCTAATATGTCAAAATCCCTGAAATTTATTTTGAAGCAATAAGGAAGATTTTTTATGATTTTAAAATGTAAAAATACTAGATTCTTTATTGGCTTGATGAATGCAATACAAAAGTCAATATTTTTAAAAATCCATTTAATTGTAGAAGTTTTGGGACAGCACAGACGCAAATACTGCTCTCAGGAACCAGACAGACTCCATTCTTAATTTCTTGCCTATGACATGAAAGAAGATACCCTCAGCTAAGCAGAAAGCAGAAACATCACAGAGTTTTCTAAAGGTTTGACAGAAAATTAAGCAAGGAGATTTAAAGTGTCTTTGCAGGACACAAACAAGTTTTCTTTTTCCCCATTACTCCATCAGCAAATGGCATCAAGAAGCTGTGCGGTTGAGGAAGGAAGAATTGAAGAACTAGGGCAACAGCTAGGAATTATTATTAATAGAGGCAGGACTTTTGCTCTGCAAGTCTTAATGTGGTTAGCACATAAATTATCACCAAAGCGCTTAAGGGGCACTGCAGAGCAGACCCTGGGGAGGTGTGCCCACTGGGAGCTATCAACTTCTAGCCACTTTAGTCCTGTATTCATCTCTTATATATTTTCCCAGTCCTCTTCCTTTGTGCATATTGTACATCCCAGTTAGTAAGATCCCTCTTTCAGCTTCAGACTTCCAAAAACCACTAACCCAGAAGAACTATTTTCTGGAAGATCTTTGAGTAGACAAAATGGTTTTCATCGAAAACAAAGCACTGAACAAGAAGTAAAACTTGAGTGTGGAAAGTAACCTGCCCACAGCACCTCTGTCCTGCGTGTTGTCTGCCCTCTTTGAGGATGCACTGGCCTGACAGCATGAGACTCTTCAACTGTCACAGAGGAGGGACACATAACCTTGCTGGCTTATGAGGCTCAAGATCATCACTATTTTTTCTTACACTGAATTATAATTTATATATTACTTCAAAGCCAACCAGAACATGACTTAGGGAAGAATTCTTCAAAGACGATTTCTATAACAGCTGCGTTACTCATAATCACACAAAAAAAGGAAACCATCCACATATCCCCAAACCGGTGAAGCAATAATAACAATGTGGTACGTATTATGCTAGGGCAGAAGTAATTGTGGTTCTTGCCATTGCTTTTAATGTCAAAACCGCAATTACTTTTGAACCAACCTAATAAATCCATACAAAAGATTACTACTCAATAATTTTAAAAAATTACAAGCAGAATCATGGATGAATCACAGGAACATGACATGAAGTGAAAGAAGCCGGATACAAAAGAAATTTCTAGAAAAGAGAAAACTTTAGAGACAGAATGCAAATCAGTGGCTGCCTGGGGCTGAAGATGAGAGCAGGAATTTAGGGGGAAACTTTTTGGGGTTCTAGCAGCATTTTAAAATCTAATTGCAGTGATGAGTGCAGAATCATATGAATTTATTAAAACTTGTCAAGGTGTATACCTAATTTTATTGTATGTAAGTTATACCTTAATAAAATTGTTAAAAATATTTATAATGAATGGTTCACATAAACGATTTTGGTAATATAAAGGTCTGTGCTGGTCTACCTGGGTAATTTATGCACGTGGTAAGTTTTTTCCTTAGCAACAGCGACTGAAGAATGAAGCAATGAAGGAGGCACTGTCCATGGTTTTGAGAGCTTTAACACAACATATTCACCACTTGCCCTCTGACACACCCAATGGCTTTACCTCATTAAGGATGTCTGAAGCTCGCTTTGCCTTTTCCATTTCTAGGGACCCAAAAGGCACCCAGCCACAACCTTTCATCCAGCTGTTGTAGTCAGCTTTGTATTCAACCTAAAACACCAAGAGAAAGGTTACATTTCTTTGCTGTGTCATCTTCATTATGTAAACTCCAATGTTTTATTCAAAACAATGTTTTTGAGATTTCCAACCAGCTTCCTTACTCCAGACACTAAGGTTATTGTATATATTTCTTTGCTGAGAGATAGTAACAGCTCTTAGATTTTTGCTTTCCTTCTAACTGGCATATGTTCCATTTCATCCTTATTTCCAATGTAATGGAAGTATGTGGTACTCTAATTCCAAACTGGAAAATGCTCAAGTCTAACCTGCCCTTTAAAGAATAAGTGAAATTGTCAGGTAATCAAATGTGAGACATTTGTTTTCTGGAACTTTAAGTATTATGTTTCTATCAAATTAAAATAGAAGGCCACATTGAAGGTGGATTATTTGCTCATTTTCTAGCTGTGTAAGACTTAATGGAATTATTTGTTCTGCTTGCACACATGGCCCTTCATGTGTCCTGGTCCACTTTGGAGTGTTTCTACATTGGCTAACAACAGTTTAAAATAGTTGCACTTGTTAATTTGCATAAGGGAGCAGTTATTATTTGGAATTGGTCCTAGTTGAGGCACAGTTACTTGATGGTATTAAAATCATGAGCTACTTTTGTTGTCTGACCATCGGTGGTACCAAAAATGCACATTTTAGATACAAAATTCAAACTGTTGTTCTTTACTGTGGGCCTTTTAAGTGGAATGCAAAATCAACAAAGTATTCAGTTCCTGTCCTTCAGAGGCTTATGATCTATTTGGGGTGAAAAAACATAACAAAATCAAACTAATGACAAGTAGAATAACAATGCATAATATAGAATTGTTAGTGGCAGGAATGTAAAATTTTGCAGCCGATATGGAAAACTACTTATAATGGTTCTTCTACAGATAAAAATTAGAGTTACCATATGATCCAGCTATTCAACTTCTGGGTTTATACTCAAAAGAATTGAAAGCAGGATCTCAAAGAGACATTCACATACCCATATTCATAGCATCAAAATAGCTTAAAGGTGGAAGCAACCCAAATGTCTACCAACAGATGAAAGGGCGAATAAAATGTAGCCTATCCATATAATAGAATATTATTCAGCCTTAAAAAGGAAGGCCATTTTGACACATGCTACAACATGGATAAACACTGAGGACATTTTGCCAAGTGAAATAAGCCAATCACAAAGAGACAAACATTGTATGATTTCACATCATGAGGTATCTAGAGTTAGTCAAACTTAGAAACAGAGCATAGATTGGTGGCTGCCACAAGCTAGGGGAAGAAGGAAAGTGGGAGTTGCTGTTTAATGAATATAGAGTTTCAATTTGGGAAGATGAAAAGGCTCTGGAGATTGGTCGCACAACAATGTTGATATACTTAACACCACTGAACTGTACATTTGAAAATTGTAAAGGTGGTAAATTTATGTTATGTGTACTTTAACACATTTTTAAAACTAGAATTGTTAGGATGAAGTATTCACTTGTGTAGTTCAGACAAATTAACTTGCCTAAAGAAGTTTTGATCTGCAGAAAAAAATAGTTATAAATATTTATGTTAAATGATATATTTTCTTTTCAGATAGCAATCTATGTAAAAATCATTGATGCTGATGAATACGATGATTATGATGCTGGTGATGATAAATACTGAATGTTTATTGAGAACTCACTCAGGCCTAGCACCATGCTAAGTGTTTTGCATGCATTGACATCCTCCAAACAATGTTTTTGATTTATTTCCATTTTACAGAGGAGGACTCTGGACTTAGCAAGGCTGATAACTTTCCCAGAGGGAAACAGTGATGGGATGCATGCCAGATCAGTTCTTCCTAATCCTGAAGGGCATGTTCTTAGAGAATCACAAGGGTTGTTTTGCTTACATACATAGGACAATGCAGACACCTCTGAGAAGTACAAAAACCTCACTCAACTTTGAGGTCCATTTCAGTTTCCAGCTTTTTAAAAGAGGCTAGAGAAACCCTGGTTACTCACATCGCTCTGTAGCGCGTACGCCTTCTTGGCGAGGTCCACGTTGATGCTATCGGGCGGGTAGCTGTAACTGTGTAAGATGTGCTTATAATCAACGTCGCTGGCAATTTCCTGAGATTTCTTAGCTTGGGTGACTTGGAGCATATCCAGAGGTGCCGTGTAGATGGTTTTTGACTTTTCATAATCTTTTCGATATTCATGCTGTGAATAGGAAATTATCATTTATTATAACAAATCTTCTATGGATTTCCAGAAAAGACAGATCTTTCATAAACAATAAATATAAGTTAGAGAAAGAGTCAAACATCTGAGTAGTTATTTTGCCCAAAAATGTGTTCATATGTTACACACCGTTGAAATCCCTTCAAAAAGCACACGTGGGCAGACCTTCTCAAATCAGTGAGAAACCGTCAGAGTCACAACAGACAACGGGCCGCAGCTCCTGCTCAGTCAGGAGCCGGAATGCTTTTATTCTAAAACAGGGTTTCTCAAGGACCACTAACAAGTGTTACTATTATTAATGTAATTTAACCTATGAAGGGTTTTCCAATAAAGAAGCATTTTTTAAATGTAATGAAAACCATATGACAATTTGATTTTATAAAATGGTTACTTCATACACAGGGCGGTAGACTTAGTTTCTTGGCTGTATAGAGTCATTTTTAAATGGATAGTCAACTGATTTTTTAACCTATTATTGACAGGAGATAAGCCCTACTGAGAATCTCAAAGGTTTTCATATCAAGTTCAATTTTGGCAACAATTTAAAAGAAACTTCAGATTGCAGCAGTTAAAAGACTTCATAGGAGAAAAGTTTGGGAAACTGAGCCATTAAAATAATGTTGGCCCTTCTGTACAATGTTCTCATAAACTAAATGTCCTGACTTGGCCTTAAGGGCTGCCTTCATTTTCTGGTTTTCTGGAATGGTTAGACAAGGTGCTAATTAGGTCAAATTCCCAGTTTCATCATAGCCACTCACTAATTATCTTAACAGACAGAAAAATTTTGACCTATTCCCTTTAAGAAAATTCGAAACTCATCCTAGTTTTCCATGGTCACATACATATTAGAGACAGTGACCCAAGCTGGTAAGTACAGATGTGCATTATAAATCTTCTGTAACAATTCCTTTTGCAAACGATCTGATCTTTTTGGCTTTCTAAGGGAACTTGATCTTCCTTCTCATATTTTGTGGGTAGTCACTTTCACTGAATACATTTATTACTTAACTATAAAATTGAGACCCTGGTTTATAAAAATAAAGTATGGAAACTTTCTGATAGTTTGCAACAACACTGAAAACAACAATTTGTCTTAATTAGAAGAAAACTGATAAAGCAATGTTACAACAGTTGGTGTGTGGAAATATTTTTGAAGACATTGTTGTTACTGTTTTGTTCATGTTCACACCAGCTGACACATACCAGCACATATAAAATGTTGTCAAAGATCCAAATGGCTTTAAAAGATTCTTTTTAAAAAGTCATGCATGTTCAATATCTGCGGCTTAGCATTTTGCCTGGATATTATGTGAGACTGACCCATTTGCTATGTCTTTTGGTCATTTACATCAATCAATTAACAAATATTTATTGGGCATTTCTTATGTGCCTACTACAGGGTTCTGTGATAGGAATAAAAACAAAAGATAAAAATACACATGCTATCAAGGGGGAGTCATACTCTTCTTAAGCTGAGAGAACTTAACTAGTGAACAAAATAGTAATATATGTGAGCACTATATACTGACATAATTCACTGTGAAGTTACTAGAGAAAATTATGGAATTGGAAGTTTTAAAGTGCTATGTGATGACACAATAAATGCAACATGAGTTAAAGAGGTATGTATAGATCTTCATATAAAAGCATGGTTAAAACTAAATGATATAAACACGCTTCTCTTTCATCATAAAAAACTAGTATCTGCAAGCTACATTGAACATTCTCAGTACTCTTAAGGGATTCTCTAAACATTTTATACATAGTACATACTATAATTTGCAATAGTAGATGTTTGTCTCTCTGTAGTAAGAATTTTAACTGGAAAATGTTACATGGCCCATAGACAAGCCTTAAGGAGCCCATGAGTTCACCAAAATTCAGACAAAAGGCATGAAAATTAATGTTCATTTTCTATATAGATGATTCAAATCTTTTGTCAGCGTCTCAAAGGGATTTGTAATCAACGGAGTCTTTTTCCTGGATCTAGACCAAACTCATTACTAAAGCCAATGAAGAACAATGATACTCTATTAAGATTTTTTATTTGTGATTCGTAAATGTCTTCCAAAGTAAAGACAGTTTTAAAATTTTCATTTTAAAAATTATTTTTCAATTAGAATAAAATGTGAAAACATCTACTCATGTTTTCTAAAAGGTTTTAAGAATATAATCAATATTCTATTAAATATTGATGAATACAGTTTTCAAAGTGAAATGGACATCAAGTACAAATCAGTGATTTCTCCCCTCAAATGTGGAGGTGCAACAATCCAGGGCATTATTCTAAAGTTTTCTACATCAGTACTTTTGTGAATGTGAGAGAGCCTATGCTTATGAAATCCTTTTCCACACGACTACCTTGGGCATCATAACAGGGGGTCCATCTTGAAAACAATACAGAGTCACAAAGACACTCACATCACTCTGGTTTTTGGCTGTCTTCAAGGAGTGCAGCATCTTGGGATCGTCGTTAATGCTGAGGGCCCCAATCATTTTCCCTTTGCTTTTTTCATAGTCTTTCTTATACATCACCTGCAAAGATATCACACATGTCAGATCCCACTCACCAGGAAATGTCCCCGAGGCCACCCTGTCCAGGTCCCCAGGTCCCCAGGCCACACTCACATCGCTAGCATTCTTGGTATTGGCTTTGGCTGCCAGCAGGGGAATGGCATCCACTTTAATTTCAAACTTCTTGGCTTTGCTCTTCTCCCAGTCTTGCTTATAAAGATTCTGGACAGAAAAATTCAGCAAAGGAATGAAAAGAAGAACATTAAACACAGTGTGATCCAGTAAAAAAATAAAAATATTTTCAAAATTTGTGTATACATACTTATTTCACCTATAAATTCTGTATTTATCAAATTGTAGCATATGTATTGATCTATCTATCACCCAGTTTCTTTCTCCCTACCACTAAGTATAAGCTACTCTTTTTAATGTTCTGTAAACTTTCTAAAGACTCTGCTACCTTGATTTATATAAGGATGCTATAAAATGACAATGACTTGGAGAAGGTGAAATGTGACATTTACATGGGAAAGATGTTGTAAAACTCCAGGGAATAGCAGAAGGGTAATTGAGAGATCTTCTGATGGTAACAGAGACCATGGAAAATGAAATCTGATAGCTAAGTAGGAGTCTTAAGAACATTTTGACTTTAAAAGCTCCACTTACACTCTGGTAACAATCTTAATACTTGTTTATTTGTATAATTCCTAGTCTTGTCTTACAAAATTGATAACATTTTCTCTTTCCATGCACACCAAACATAGGCTTCTGGGGCTTTGGTACTTACATCACTCAGATTGTAGGCATTGACTCTGTGTTGGATAAACTGTGGAGCATCTGCTGGTACATGGCACTTGAACTTCTCACCTTCATGTTTTGCTTTGTAATTCAGCTGATAAACAAAGGATGTTTGGACAGTTCAGGGGAACTTCTTTGAATTTATTTAGGACAGTTTATATAGCCAAGGTGTTAGTGCCCTTTTTAAAAACATGCCTCAAAGAGATACTCAATTCAGTCAAAGTCTCACATAGAATTCAAAGTCTCATTCCCTATTTCAGGGACTGTGGGATAGTCCTTCTTTTTCCATGGGAGATACTTTCCAAGACTCCTAATGGCCACCTGAAATCATGGATAGCACTGAACCCTATATATACTATGTCCTTTCCTATACGTATATACCTGTGATAAAGTTTAATTCATACATTAGGCACAGTAAGAAATTAACAATAACTAATAGTAGAAAAATTGAAACAATATATTGTAATAAAAGTAATGTGGATGTGGTTTATCGCTCTCAAAATATCTGTTTTTATCCTTCTTTTTCTTGATAAAGAAAGGACAAAGGGGGATGGTGTGAGATTTCATCATGCTACTCAGAACAACACACAATTTAAAACTTATGAATTTTTCGTTTCTGGAATTTTCCACTTCAAATTTTTGGGCCATGGTTGACTGCAAGTAACTGAAATTGTGGAAAGCAAAACCGAATAAGGGGACTGCTGTGTCACCATACTTTGGGCTACCAGCTGCCATTGTGTAGATTCTGTTATATACACAGGAATATGATCTGATCTACACTGTTAGGCTGTATCTGGAGAACATGAACTTCTGTAATCAAAGCACTAACAAAAACAATAATAATTCTCAATAAAACACTAGCACAGTTAAAAATATATGTAAACAATTCTTTCTTCTTTTCTTTCTCCTTCTTCTACAGGGTCTGGCTCCATCACCCAGGCTGGAAGGCAGTGACACAATCTCAGCTCACTGCAACCTCCACCTCCCAGGCTCAAGCGATCCTCCCACCTCAGCCTCCTGAGTAGCTGGGACTACAGGCATATGCCACCATACCCAGATAATTTTTTTATTTTTTTGTAAAGACAGGATTTTGCCATGTTGCCCAGGCTGGTTTCAAACTCGTAGGCTCAACTGATCTGCCTGCCTCAGCCTCCCAAAGTGCTGGGGTCACAGGTGTGAGCCACTGCACCTGGCTGTGAATTCTTATTTACAATATTAAACATAGGATTGTATTTTTTTAAAAGGTGGTGTTAGGTGGAAGGAAGGGAGTGTAAAGAACAGATGAAGCTGTTGAATTTTGGAGCCAAAATCAAAAATGCACAAGATTGAGAATTATGCAAGAAGCAATTTCAAGGCAAAGTAGATTGCCTACCCAAGCCAATAAAAAGAGTGATTGATAGTGACTGTGACCACATACAGCACTATATTTCTCTGCAGCTTGCTGAGTTTAGCTAAATCAGGAATATTAGTGTTTAGCTGTTCTTTATTGGGACACAAAATATTAAGATGCTTGGAAAAGTTGCATATGAGCTGAAATGACTTCTAGGCTATACTGATGCCGTTCTCCTCTTTAACAACTGCATATGAGCTAATTTGTATCATTAAAACACATTTTATTGCAGGAAAAACTGTATCTTTCACTTTCCTATCTTGAGAATGATGCACTACTCTCCAGGACTTAGCTATGTTAGCACCTTGCTGTTCAAAGAGTAGCCTACCAATCACAGCGTCAGTATCACCTAGAGGCTTATTAGAAAGTCAGAATATGGAGTCCCCCGGATGTACTGAATCAGAATCTGTACTTCAACAGGGTCAGTAGGCGACTTCATGAATGTGGATATTTGAGAAGCACTGCTGCTTTTCCCCTGATCTTGGCATGTTTGGACCATGCCTGTCTTAGACATTCTTTGACCACTCAATCTAAAGTGCCCATCCAGTTCTTTCTCTGATATCATCCCACTTTAATTCTGTAGCATCATTCTATATTAGTTATCTTATCATTGTTTGATATCTGTATTGTTACTGTGCCCTTTCTTTCTGGAAAGTCTTCGCTAGCAAATTCAAGAATAGGAAATATTTGCCTTGTTACCTACCCAAATAGATGCTTTTGTTGTCAATTATTTAAGTTGATATGAAGTTTTAGGGTACATGTGACAGATCCTAATGAATAAGATAATCCCACTAAAAAAACAGTAAGTTGTTAAAAATATAGTAATTATTTTTATTATTGTCTAACACAACTTTCCTCAGGCTACAATTCAATCTAGCAGCCTCATTTGTGTTTTAATAAACAGATCTTGAAAAATAACAATATTGGGATGGTAGATGAGCCCATGAAGATTAAGCATGTAAATGCTTATGTTTTAAATGAGCAAAGCACTTGGGATCACCCACACTTGCATAAATCAAAGCACTTACATCGCTAAGCTGTTTCGTATTGAGCTGGGCTTGCAACAGTACAGGAGTATCAGTGACTGCCGTGAATTTGGTCTTATCTGGATGAACTTTGTAGGTATGCTAGAAAAGAAGATGTTCTTTAATGAAATTTATAATGTATTTATACATTATAATTTATCAATATAGTCTTGGTTATACATACACTAACATAAAAAATGGTTCCAGGTAAAAACAGAGTTTATTTTGTTCCTAAAAACTTAGTTGATGCATTTATATTCTCTCTCTCTCTCTCTCTCTCTCTCTCTGTCTCTCGCCTTGAATCCCCACTTCCCAAGTTGCCTCTGGTCTGCCTACAGCAACTCAGCAACCAGATTAACCCTTCCCCCACTGAAGCCTTACAATGACTCTTTATTGAACCTCATATTTAGTCTAAACTACATGTTGGTTTACGATCCCTACAGAAACCATCTCCTCCCTCATCTCCTGCCATTTCACCTCTTACTACTGCCCTCCTCCCCAGTATATTCTAGCCACCCCATCATTTCAATTCCTTAAATGCTGAGCTTATTCTCTTCTTAGGCTGTTCTTCCCCGCTGCTCTTCCCCTGACCTTGGCCTGGCTGGTCATGCCTGTTTTAGATCTTCCTTGACCACTCAATCTAAGATGCCCACCGAGTCACTCTCTCACACATTGTCCTATTTTAATTCTGTATCATCATCCTATATTAGTTTTCTTATCATTGCTTGATATCTTTCTTATTTCTCTGCTCTCTTCCTTTATTATTTGTCTCTTCCACTCCAGTGGGAGCTCCTCAAGAGGTGGCCCACTTTTTCCCTGTCTTTCTCAGCACCAAGGAAATTGCCTGGCCCAGGCTGCCTTCTTGTATTAATCTGTTAAATAATGAACACCTATCTCAAACCTGCATGTCTTTCTTTTACCCTGAATTTGCATAGATATAAACTAATGGAAATTAAGATTTATAAAATCTGAAATTATTTTGTAACAAATAGCCCTCTTCATGATAATTGTTGTGTTTCCCAGTTCCACCCCAAAATCAAATGTAAAATGTAATTATATCCTAATCATTAGACATTAGCATTTAAACTCCTGCTAAATTTACCACTAGATGTCACAAGAATCCCAAACCCGATTTCAAGAATTCAGGGCAGCTAACTTACGTCTTTACACTGGTCCAGCTTCTTGATTGCTTCATATTCTTGTGTTATTGTCTGAGGGAAATAGCATTTTCCTTTATCTTCTTCATACTCTGCTTTGTAACTTTTCTATAATGAGAAAAACCAAAAATAGATTGTGATTATTACAGGTCTCAAACAATGTCACCGTGAGGCATGAACCATTGTCTTCAAACTTACGTCACTGTTTTGAGCTGCAACTTTCATGCAGTGTGTGTGATATGGGTCCTCAAAGCTGCCTACATAATGTCCCAAAATATCCTTCACATATAAGTCTTTATATTTAGCCTGAAAAATAAAATAAATGTAATCCAAGTTAACAATCATTTGTCAAACAGTAGGAAAGCCCTCCGGCCCAAGAGGTAACCGTGGCTTTTCGAACCTCACTGAAGTTCTTCAGCTGAGTATCAAGTTGATATTTCGGGGTCTCACAGTAATTCATACTCTTCGCCTTTGTCTTCTCATAGTTTTCCTTGTATAATCTCTGTTAAAGGAAAAAGAAATTAAACCAAAAAGAAAGAAAAATACACCCCATAAAGTGAAAGCCATATCACTGCTACACTTTAACTGAAGGGGCAAAATTTATGTTTTCTCAGCATCTATTTTCCACAAAGCAGAAAAAGCAGAATTGGTGTGATAGAGGCTCATGCCTTATATAATCTCACCTGCTAATAATCACAAAGATGTTTATGTTACTTGTCCTAATATTTTTTCAGCCTGAATAACTTAAAGCACACCGATGCTGCTATTTAAGCAAATTTTTGCCTTAAAATAATTTATTTGCATATGTTTAAAGAAAAGTGAGTTTGGCTAGATGGCAGTGGCTCACACCTGTCATCACAGCACTTTGGGAGGCCAAGGTGGGCAGACCACTCAAGGCCAGGAGTTTGACACCAGCCTGGCCAACATGGTGAAGCCCCGGCACTACTAAGAATACAAAAATTAGTGGGCGTGATGGCACATGCCTATAATCCCAGCCGTTAGGGAGGCTGAGGCAGGAGAATCGCTTGAACCTGGAAGGGGAAGTTTGCAGTGAGCCAAGATCATGACACTGCACTCCAGCCTGGGCAACAGGGCAAGACCCTCTCTCCAAAAGAAAAAAAAAAAAAAGAAAAATGAGTTTTTTAAAGAGCTGATGCAAAATGACATATAAGGTATAAGGTGAACCTTAGATAATTAAGCACAGTCCTAGAAGCATATTCCGTTCAGCACCTGGTGAAACACATTTTGTTACAACTCTATATGAAAACTGATTTGTCTGTTTTTCTTTTTTTCTTTTTTTTCTTTTTTTATTTTATTTTTTTTTTTTCTTGGGGACGGAGTTTCGCTCTTGTTACCCAGGCTGGAGTGCAATGGCGCGATCTCGGCTCACCGCAACCTCCGCCTCCTGGGCTCAGGCAATTCTCCTGCCTCAGCCTCCTGAGTAGCTGGGATTACAGGCACGTGCCACCATGCCCAGCTAATTTTTTGTATTTTTAGTAGAGACAGGGTTTCACCGTGTTGACCAGGATGGTCTCGATCTCTTGACCTCGTGATCCACCCGCCTCGGCCTCCCAAGTGCTGGGATTACAGGTGTCTGTATTTCTTTTTTTGCTACAAATTAGGAAGCAATTTATGTGAAGAGTTTTATTATTTTTTGTTTGATTTCCAACTTTTAAGTTCAAGGGTACATGTGCAGTATATGCAGGTTTGTTACACAGGTAAACGTGTGCCATGGCGGTTTGCTGCACAGATCATCCCATCATTCAGGTATTAATTATTCATTAGCCATTCTTCCTGATGCTCTGTCTCCTCTCCCACACCCCCACCTTCCAACAGTGTGTTGTTCCCTTCATGTATCCATGTGTTCTCATCATTCAGCTTCCATATAAAAGAACATGTGGTATTTGATTTTCTGTTCCTGCTTAGTTTGCTGAGGATAATGGCTTTCAGTTCCATCCATGTCCCTGCAAAGGACATGATCTCATTCCGTTTTATGGCTGCACAGTACTTCATGATGTATCTGCACCACATTTTCTTTATCCAGTCTATCACTGATGGGCATTTAGGATGATTCCATGTCTTTGCTATTGTGAATAGTGTTGCAATGAACATACGCATGTGTGTCTTTATAACAGAATGATTTATATTCCGGCCGGGTGCTGTGGCTCACACCTGTAATCCCAGCTCTTAGAGAGGCAGAGGCGGGAGGATAGCTTGAGCCCAGGAGTTTGAGACCTGCCTGGGCAATATAGCGAGACCCCGTTCTCTACAAAAAGAATGATTTATATTCCTTTGGGTATATATCCTGTATTAGGATTGCTGAGTCATATTTTATTTTTAGTAAGTATGTTAGTCTTCAAAATAAGATCAATATTCTATAAATTTCTTAAAATAAAGGACTTTGCTTTTCAGTTTTTGCCTCATGCAGTTTTTCTTACTTCATCCTTTAACTTACTTCTTGCAAACTTCCTTAATCAGTTGTGGGCATTGGGTGAATACCTACATGTGCATGTACCTGTATTTACACATATGAAGCTCATTTCTAGGAGAAACAATAAAGACAGATATTGATATTGCCAGAATATTTTTTCTCCTAATAAAACAGAAGGTATTAAGGAGATGAAGGAAACTTTTGCAGTATTCACTGGCATCGAAGACATCCACAACAATAGGGAAGTTCATCTTCCTTTACCACCTAGGTGAAGCTTTCACGTGTGATTTGTCATCCTGAATCCGAGATTTCAGTTAGGCTAACATCCATCCAAGGTTATTTTAAACAGCAACTTTGTGGCCACATCTGAAAATAGGGGTGAATTACAGAGACACTCACATCACTCTGGTTTTTGGCCACCTTCAAAGAGTGCAGTATCTTGGGATCATCATTAATGCTGAGGGCTCCAATCATTTTTCCTTTGCTTTTTTCATAGTCTTTCTTGTACATTACCTGCAAAGACATCACACGTGCCAGATCCCACTCACCAGGAAACACCCCTGAGGCTGCCCTGTCCAGGTCCCCAGGTCCCCGGGCCACACTCACATCACTGGCGTTCTTGGTGTTGGCTTTGGCTGCCAGTAGGGGAATGGCATCCACTTTAATGTCAAACTTCTTGGCTTTGCTCTTCTCCCAGTCTTGCTTATAAAGATTCTGGACAGAAAAATTCAGCAAAGGAATTGGCAAAAGTGATCTGCATGTCATCACCTTTAAAGACTAATGGGTAACTAAATACCTCGTCTCAATATAAAATAAATGGGCCCTTTTTATTGTCCAGGAAATCATGCATATTTTAAATATTTCTTCTCAAGTTGGAGCTATTAATTCTCTAAGTTGGGCTTCTCTACACTCCATGAGAATTTTTTTATCTAATTCTAGCTATTACACTAATATTTGATTCCTAACACTGAATGTTTTATAGAGTAGCACAAACATTCTACAGTTAACTTACTTTTTATGATACAAAGGCATCACTTTCATTTGACCTCTAAGTTCTCTGCAAAGGTTATTTCATAAATAATTAAAATACTTATTGATACCAGATAATCTTAGTACTCATTTACAGAATTATTGAAGAAATTGAGAGCCCCAAGGGTAATTAAACTTTTCTATAAAATTAAGTTTGAAGAATTAAAGATAGAAATGGATATCTGAACTTCTGCCCTTTCTATCCCCTATATCTTTATTTATGCAAGTTCTCACACATGTAGAAATAAGTATCATTTATGTGAAATAAGGGACATTATAAGCCCAGAGAATAAATGAATTATAGTATAACTTAAATGAATATACGGCTAAAAGATCTACCATTAAAATTTACAATTAAGCATAAATGAGAGGTATATTTTGAGGGATGGTTACAATATATTAAGATTATCCAACTGTATGAAACTACTTATAAGATTGCTACACACATTTTGTAAGGTGAATTCAGTAATATTGGCAGAGGCATAGGAACAGGATACAAATGTTAACTGTTCTTCCCATTTTTAACATTAAACTATTCATTGAATCATAATGAAGCAGTTCAAAAATAAAAGCACAGGTTGTCAGTATATCACATGGTACAGGGCATGAGGAACTTACATCACTCAGGTTATAGGCATTGACTTTGTGCTGGATAAGAGCAGGAGTATCAGGGGGGATATGGCACTTGAACTTTTCACTTTCATGTTTTGCTTTGTAATTTAACTATGACGAGAAAGAGAGAGAGAGAGCGAGAGAGCGAGAGACAGACAGACCGAGAGAGAGAGAACATCAATTAGCTCAGAAGAATTGTTCCAGAATACAAAAATTCTTGTGTGGTACATTTTGTAAAATAAGTGACAACATTGTTGAGATCAGAAGAGACTTCTAGAGCTTGGGTGGGCCACCTGCATGACTGAACCTGTATGCGGGACACTTGCCAGCTATGATCACATCTGTCACCATGGTAGGACCCTAAGGGAATGAGGTAACTCTGTCAAACACGCCTCCCTCCCTGCATAGCACAGTTGGCCCTGTAGGTTCTGAGAAGTGCCCCGTGCTGTCTTTCTTGCCATTGTCAGTGCTCACATACCGTACTGGAGCCACTTTCCTTTCATCTGATTAGGAGTCCTCTCACAGACATCAGGGTTTTGATGTTCTAATTGGAGCCTTTATTTCTGGACATAAATCTACTGAGGTTACTTTTATTTTTTTGGTTCAACGTAAGTTTGGAAGTGCACACTTAAGGCTCACATAATAAAGTTTGTCTCAGAGATTCCAGTTTCCAGAAACTTACTAGGGAGAGAGAAACTCATGTACTGAATACCTGCTCTGGCCAGGGCATGTGCAGAGTACATTTCTCCCTTTACTTACTCTTCAAAACAGCCACAAATTATAAAAGGCAAATATCAGGCAGAGCGAGGTTAAACCTTTGCCCATCCAGACTTCAATGACAGAGCTAACATTTGAATGCAGTTTTGTCTGACTCTAGAACTCACGTTCTTTCCACTGCTTTAAGCTACATTTTTTTCCTTTACAGAATCATCTCATTGTAAATGTTATCCACCCCACAAGACGCAGAAAATATTTTTATACAAATATATAAAAATACATACAATTTAAACTTGTTAATACTTACCCTGCCTTTTGAACAAACTTGTGATTGGATTTTATGTATAGAGTTATGAAATGTTATCTCTTATAATTAGATGTCCTAGGTAGTTAGAAGAACTTACATCGCTCAGTTGTTTGGAATTGACTTGGGCTTGCAGCAGAACAGGAGAGTCGGTAACTTGGGTGAATTTTGTCTTATCTGGATGGACTTTGTAGGTGTGCTGTGGGAAGCAAAGGCATTTGGTTTAGCAGTATCACCTGTCAGATCCGAGGTGGCCCATAGGCCAGGCAAATAGAACCTCATGCCCCGCAAGGCAAAGAAGCTTGTAGTTAATAAAATACATATATTTTTTCTAACTAGACTGCAGTTTGAGAGATTCTTCGTACACCTTCGTATGTGAATCTTCAGATTCCTGATAACTCTTCTTTGGGAAAATGAGCTAGAATTACCTCTTAAAATGTAGGGATGCCAACAAGGGGAAAATAGGATGTTTCCTACAAAATGGATTTCATTTCTTGCAATTGTCTGGCTTACACTTATTTATAAAAGTGTCAGCATTTTAAACATATCTTGACCACTAGATGCTATGGAAGGCAGTCACATTCAAAGTTCAGACTACAGACTTACATCTTTACACTGATCTAGTTTCTTAATTGCTTCATATTCTTGAGTTATGGTCTGGGGGAAGAAGCCTTTGCCTCTGTCTTCTTCATATTCTGCTTTGTAGTTTTTCTATGAGGAGGAGAAATCAGGCATAAGATGCAGCCATTGCATTCATGCCCTAAGAAAAATGTTATTTGAAAAGTCAAACAATTATTTTAGAACTTACATCACTGTTTTCAGCTGCGACTTTCATGCAGTGTGAATGGTATGGATCCTCAAAGCTGCCTACATAATGTCCCAAAATAGTTTTTAAGTAGGAACCTTTGTATTTGTTCTGAAAGACAAAACATATTTCATTTATTAATTGGTGAAATAGTGGATTCTTTTTTTAGCAGAAGGAGTGACAGTAAGATCGCTTACATCACTACTGAAGTTCTGCAGAACAGTATCGAGCTTAAATTTGGGGGTCTCGCAGTAATTTATGCTCTTTGCCTTTGTCTTTTCATAGTTTTCCTTGTATAGTTTCTGTCAAAGAAAAAAAAATCAGTTAAAGTAGATTCCTGTCACTCCCATGCTGATTATAACACTTATATTTTCTAACACTAAACAAAAGATGAAGAAAAGATATCATCTGTCAACTGACTTAAAAACTGACAATTGAGGACAAGCACGGTAGATCATGCCTGTAATCCCAGCACTTTGGGAGGCCGAGGTGGGCAGATCACGAGGTCAGGAGTTTGAGACCAGCCTGGTCAACAAAGTGAAACCCCCTCTCTACTAAAAATACAAAAAATTGGCTGGGTGTGGTGACATGCACCTGTAATCCCAGCTACTTGGGAGGCTGAGGCAGGAGAATCTCTTGAACCTGAGAGGCAGAGATTGCAGTGAGCTGAGATCATGCCACCGCACTCCAGCCTGGGCGACAGAGCGAGACTCAGTCTCAAAACAAAACAAAACAAAACACCTGACAATCGAACATGGAGTGTCATGAATCATAAGACTGTTCATTTAGCAATTATTATAAAGCCTAAGTTTCACACATTCCAAACTCTTAAAAATTAAGAAACCAATATGCTACCTCTGACCAAGCCCTTAGTAGCAGGGATTTGTGTGTATTTCTGAATTACTGCCCTCTCTGCCTTTCAGCTCCCATACTCTTTCCTCACTGATAATACCACAGCAAACATGGAGATTTTGACCAATCGCAAGTTGTTTAATTTTTTTAAACAAACTTTCATGAAAAAGTTATATAAGAAATATACAATCTCCCTCCTTATAATAAAATCTCTTATTATACAAACAATTTGCCTTAAAAATAAGATGTACATATATGAGAACCGGTACTATGAATTATTACTAACTCTTCTCTGCCAGGATTTACCTTTAGCTTGAAGAACAACAAGAAGCAATGGTTAGTTTAAATATGCCACTGATAGAGCAGATTATTGTCACTTTTTCATTCTGGGTTTTCAAAATGTAAATGATGCTATTCTTGTTTTTGATTTTTAGATTCCTATCACACACTAGGGTCTGTTGGGGGGGACTAGGGGAGGGACAGCGTGGGGTAGGGAGGTTGGGGAGGGATAACATGGGGGGAAATACCAGTTATAGGTGATGAGGGGATGGAGGCAGCAAATCACATTGCCATGTATGTACCTATGCAACAATCCTGCATGATCTGTACATATACCCCAGTACCTAAAGTACAATTTAAAAAACTATATATATATATATATATACACACACACATATGTATATATTTAATTATTTATAAAGATTTTTAGATTCCTGTCTTTATCAACAAAGGAAATTTGAACTGGGGCTTTTAGATGTTTAATAAGGATGGTTTTCACTTAGAGAGCACAGCTGCTTTTACACTATTGGTGGGTATGTAAATTAGTACAAGCACTATGGAAAACAGTATGGAAATTCCTTAAAGAACTAAAAGTAGAACTACCATTCAATCAGGCAATCCCAGTACTCGGTATCTACCCAGAGGAAAAGAAATCATATGAAAAAGACACATGCTTTAGTGTGAAGGTAACATGATAAGTCACAGAGCTGGGTAGACAAGCCAGGTCTTTGTCTCCTGTTCCATGTTCTCACTATATCTTTACCAGCTCCAACATATCCTTGAGATCTCTCTCAAATTACTACGACACCTTCAGTCTTTCTCCATCTTCAAAATCCAAATTAAATACCCTCTTTATACACCCCCTAATAGTGTCCTTTGCCTTCACTGAGCTAAGGAAATGTCCTTATTTGGGTGATTATTTTTTTTTCCCATTTATTTTATTGCATTTTAGGTTTTGGGGTACATGCGAAGAACATGCAAAATTGTTGCATAGGAACACACGTGGCAGTGTGATTTGCTGCCTTCCTCCCCATCACCTACATCTAGCATTTCTCCCCTTGCTATCTCTCCCCAGCTTCCCACCCCCCACCGTCCCTCCCCTATTTCCCCTTGAGCCTCAATTTTTTCATCTGTAAAATGGCACAATTATAAGACTCAAATGAAATAAAACAGGCAAAAGTGTTTTCTAAATCCTAAAATGCTAGTGAAAGCCACTTTTTTTTAAAAAAATTAATTATTCTAGCCCATGGATTCCTTTTCTCCCTTCTCTTACCTGTCTCCTCCTCCTATTTCCTGAGCTAGGCTTGGATGCTGAGGTTTAGTTAGTAGTAAAATGCTATGTAGTTACATTCTTTTAGCCTGTGGCTTTCAACGTTTTTGAACAATACCTGAAGTAACAAATATTTACATATTGTGACCTACTGCTACTACGACTTCTCTTTTCCTTCCTTCCTCCCTTTCCCTCTTACACACACGTACCTGAAAAAATATTTTAGGAAATAATTTGTATTATTTGTTACATACT